ATATTATATTATTATATATATATATATATAATATATTATATATTATATATATATAATACGTCCGTATTCGATATTCGATAAAATGCTTTTTCGCTTTAGAATGATTTGAAAATCATCATCAACGATACGATATTCGTCTAAAAGAAAAAAAAAAAAAAAGAAACAAAAAACAAAATTCAGCGTACCAACATTTTACTCTAAAAAAAATATGTAAACGCGATCACGTTAGATATTTATTTCGAAGAAACGACGTTGTGTTATTAGATAAATATGTTCAATAAGTATTTTTTATGTTTCTGCGTTAATAAGAGAACAGGTACTAATAGAAAACTTATAATTAGAGGATTACCTGGCGATTAACGGAATACTTTGGACTTGTCGGTTTTGTTTTTCAATGATCGATGAAAGAAAACTTTTTGTTCAGTTTACTTAACGATATTCCGTGTATTATTTAACGTGCAATAAATGTTATTTTCGTGGAGAGAAGAAAAACAAATATTGTAACAAAATTGTCACCGTTGCCAGAAAAATTTGGACGACAATCGAAACAAACGAATATTTTCTAATGGCGAATCTCAAACATAACCTAAACAAGCAATAAGACTTTAAGAACGCAACAATGTCTCATTCAGACAAATCATTCCATTAATGAGTCCAAATGGCAACCTTCGTTTACTTGCGTGGTACCTTTTCTTCTTTCTTTTCTCTTTTATATCTCTAAGTATTATATTTATTCTCACAATTTGATGCACCCTTTTTTTTTTGTTTTGCTAGATCGATCGATACTCGCTTTATGATATTTCTGTTCTCTTCTTTTGTTTTTTCTTTTTTTTTTTTTTTTAATTTTTTTTTCTCTTTCCCCTTTTCCTTTCCTCCCGTTTGTTAAAATATTTGTAAGAGACGATACGCGTACGATCGCGTAATCGTTTAATGAACTTCGAACATTCCCAAATATCATTTAGAAAACCTAGGAAAAAAAAAGAAAACGTACGAAATTTTGTGAAGATGCAGATAGGAAGTTTCTGATAAATAAAAAGTATAATTATAAGTTTTGAATATAAAAGAACATTCTTCTTTTTTTTTTTGTGTTAGATCATCGCCCAATGCCATAATTAGTACCTGCTATTATATTTCTATAAACATAACACAAAACCCAGATAATATGAAATCATTAAGAAATAATTCCATTATTCAAAATTCCTTCATCATTCAATATTCAGCACCACCTAACATTAATTAATTAAATTACCTATAGAAATAAAAATTCTCCGATGTTAAGTAAAATTCCTTCTATATCGGAACTTAAAATATTAAAAAAGAAAAAGAAAAAAAATATTAACGCAATAGAAATAACGATAGAAATGATTAAAAAAATGCAGAATCAATATTATTTATTTAGTTATACCTCTGTTTTATACTTCTCATTTATGTAACATTCATTTTTAATTCTTAATCCCAAATTTGTAGGAGACAGTGTGCAGATACAATTGTCCCGGTCTCAAAATACTATTTGGAAAGTTGGCCTAAAAAAAAAAAAAGAAAAATTATATTTTATAAGACACAAGAGTTTCATTCATTATTTTTTTAATTGATATCTTCGAAATAAATTAACTCAATATAATTTGAATAACTTGTGTAGGTATCTCTAATAATTTTATGTAAACAAAAAAAAGAAAATACAATGAGACTCACGTGGTTAACAGCGTCGGGATAATTTTGCGTTTCCAAACAGAGAGCACCGTGTCGGAAATAACGTTTTCCATTTTTACCAAGTATACCGGTGGCATTAGGAGCAGGTAAAGAATTGGCGGTATATAATTGGACCCCTGGTTGATTTGAGACAATTGTCATGTGTCTACCTGAACTAGGATGAAATACTTCCGCAACCAATCTGTTTTTCTTGCTATTATCTGTTTTTTCGGGTAAACAGAAATTGTAATCGTATCCTCCACCTGGCACTTTATCAATGACATCGCCAAGAACCGTCGATTTTCTAAGATCCATTATACTGTTCTTGACTAACCTAATTTCTCCCGTAGGAATACTATCCGAATCCGTAACGGTCCAACGATCAGCGTTAAGAATGATTCGATGCTTGTACAATTCTTTTGCATTCGTACCCTAAAAGAAGAAATAATTGATTGTACGAGTAAATCAAACAAACGATTTTTCAATTTAATAAAACGGGATAGAAATTTAAAAAAAATTGAAATAATCGCAGATCTGATATAATAATAATAATAATAATAATAATAATAATAATGATCACGTACATGACCAGCGAGATTGAAATACGCATGATTAGTTAAATTAATTGGTGTTGCTTTTGTAGTAAAAGTTTTCATTTCGATAGATAATTCTCCATCATTCGACAATGTAAATGTTGCCGATGCTATCACAGCACCAGGATAACCTTCGTCCCCATCCTCGCTTAACAAAGTCATTATTACAGCACCATTTTCTATGGTACCGTTCCATACTTTAAAACTCCAACCCTTGATACCACCGTGAAGACTATTCTCTCCAATATTTTTCGATACTTGATATTCTTGACCGTCGATAACGAAACGACCCTTAGCGATACGATTTGCAACTCTTCCAACTGTCGCACCGAAATACGGATTATTGGAAGATAAATATCCTGTGGGAATAACCAAAAAAATTACAAAGAAATCACGTTAGTAATCTTAAATAACGAATGGGTTTACAAGATTTCAACATTATGGGGTTTTTCCATTCATCCTGTTAGATACAAAACTTTTTAACCCTTCCTCTCGATATGCTGAAAACTATTTTAAAATAAAAACTCGCGCCTAAGATAAATTGGATTCTTAATTATTCGAAAAGAATTTCATTGCGAAAGATAATATATATATATATATATATAAAAAAAGAAAAATAATATTGATCAATATACCAGAGATATCGTCGAAGCCAAGAAGGATGTCCTCAACGTTGCCATGTTTGTCCGGTAATCTGATACCAGTTATTGTTGCACCGTATGTAATGATATCTACTTCATGGCCAGCATTATTTTTTAACGTATATTTATCCACCGGTTTTCCATTAGCCGATCCCCAATTCTGGACCGTTATTAACTTGATTGTCTTTGACTTACCTTCGGCCATTGCAAATCTACACAAGTATATGGATCAATTTAAAAATGAACATTTGGCCATTGCAAATTTATGCAGAATAAAAATAAATCAATGAAAAAATTAAATATTGTTAATATTTATCGAAATAACAAATACAAATCTGAAATACTTCGCGATGATCAATAATATTGAGAGATAAAATATCAGATTATTGTAATTATAATGTGATAGATATTATCGATTTATCGTTATAAATCAACAATATTCTATCGAATGTTAGTGAAGGTCATGCGATAAGAAAAAGTACAACTCTGAACACGAAAACGAATTGCTAATTGCTAGATAACGTAGTTAAGTATCGTTTGGCACGCACATTACTCGGACTTTAAAATACGATAGGTCAATATCAACTTGAATTTTATTAAACGCACTTTACTCAGACAAATTTAATTTGTTCTTAATGAAATTACAAGACGCAATAATCCTTGGTGATAATTTTGAATGACTACTTGCACACGAAATGGAATCAAAGATAAGAGGTCAACCAACATTAAAGAATCTTTTTAAGATTAATTGAACGTTTCCCTCGTAACCCTAACTAGCGACATCTGTTCATATCAAAATATTCTTTATTTTTCTTTATTATATTTCATCAAATTTTCGATATTATAATTATATAAATATATTATTCGCATTAATCGTATATTAATTATTTAATTATATATTTTTTGAAATAAATGTGTTGATTTTAACAAAATATTTATATAGTACCACGTTTAAACGCTAGATGGTTCTACCAGTCTATTTTTCGGGATGTAATATATATATATATATATATTAATGATGTCTAATGATAATTGGATTTCACACAATTATATTTTACGTTGGCTACGTAATGTAGAACGTAATATAACTTTTAAGTTATTATTTACATGACTTAACATATTTTATATATTATTTTTTCTCTTCTTGTATACATAAAAAAAAATATTATTCAAATTGTGATATAGCTACGATAAATGTTCAAAATATATCTTACGCAGTTAGTTGTATGAACAACAAGAAGTTGATATGTCGAATTTTAAACATAATAAACAATTAAATCACCAATTCAAAATAATAACTAATCTTATTAAAGATTAATATTAATCTTTACAAACGCGCGATCGATAAAACTTCACGTGAACACCACAAGGTAACGTGAACTCGAAGACTGAATGTGAAAGGAAACTTTATTTTTCACGGACATTAACTGGACAATTGTAAATCCAGAAAGAGTCAAGGTTAATTCCGATAAGATAAAAGTAAAGAATTTTAAATGACAACTCTTATTAATTTATATAGATATATATCTATAACAATTGATTGTTCATAGAAAAAAAATGACTTTGACATATTTGTGGTATTTTCAAATAATGAGTTTTGTTTTATCGCAAATGATACATATATGTATATTGTTTGAATATATTTGGAATAAAAAGGGAATATATTACAGTTTATTGATATATTAGTTATGGAAATGTTTAACATTTTAACGCTTCCGTAAATAAAAAATATATTACTAGCTTGGGTAAGCGTAATTTGCAATAAGCAATGCGCGTGAGTCGGTAATACGTGAGTCATTAAAAATTATCGGTATTCTTTGCCTTTATTACGATAATTGTTATTATTCTTAGATCATTAATTATTTCTTTTTTTTCTTTTTTTCAATTTATTTCTAATAGTAGTTATTTTATATTTTTTTTTTATAACACCCATGGTGTAATCTACTATTATGTAATTAGTTTACTGCATGAGAAAAAAGAGGCAAAGTTGAATGCAACAATTCATTGGAGTTTGTTATTTACAAATGATCGAAATTGTTTTTCTAACTTTTCGAATATTAAACTTCACTTAAAATAGATTCGTTAGATATGTTCAAGTGTTTACTTTACAATAATTATTGCATTTAGATTTGAAAGTGTTAAAAACATTAATCACTTGTCGAATAAATTCTGATGAAATTTACGTATTTATATTCAAAATTAAACTGTCACGACTGTGTGACGTCTGAAAATACTACAAGTTGGTTTCTAAATGCATTGAAGGTTGCAGCGCGTAAATAGGAAATATTAAAAATTTCTGCAAAACAAGGACAAATTCATTTCAATGTCAACGCGATACTTTTTACCATTCATCTTAATTTATTTTCTTTTCTTTCTTTCTTTCTTTCTTTTTCTTATTTAATAAGTTAATTAAAAAAAATATATTTAATCATTTATATCTCGATATCGTTTGTTTTATATTTATCGTAAAACTGTTTAGTTTGCAAAATTGTATTTGATTTAACAGAATGAAAGGTTGATATATTTTGAGTGTTACTTGCTGATAAGCGACAGCACAGATGTTTCGTAATGGAAAGTTTAATAAAAGATTAAAGAAATTTTATTTTCAGGTAGGTAATTTTATAAACGATGGATATTTTTTAATTGTAAAATTTCTACATAGGACATTTCAACATAATAATTGTATAATTAAAACAATAGAGAAATGAAATTTTTCCGATATCAGAATTACTCCTGTAATTATTTATTACTATCACGAGTTAAAACCTCGACGAATGTTAATTCCACGAACGGCATATGTACATATAAAAAAAACAAATGTAAATTTACTCATTTCTTATGATTCATTCCAATTTGCGTGTATTTTTCTTTCGTCTTTAAATTTCTCTATTACAAGAAATAAATTGTTAAATCTTGATAATATCTCTAGGGATTGTGTAATATAATATGCCGATTGCTCTTATCATTGTTCAAATACTATATATATCATATAAAAAATATTTATCCTTATGATTATGAAGAAGACAAATAAGTCAGGCATTTTATTAGGGCATTTGAAATAAACATATTTGTTCGTTAAATAATAATCCTGTTATTTACTTCTCTTTTTCTCTTTTAATTAAGTCTACATAATTAAAGAATTAATAAAATAAATTAATTCAAGTATGTATATATATATATATATATATATATATATATGTCTAATAACATTTACTATACATAATCCGCGACAATTATCATAAATGCACTGCGTGCATATTACCTATAATCGTCATTTTGAAACTTTGCGATCTATTATTTATTTCTATAATTGAAAAGATCTCGAAAATAAAAGGAAAACGTGAAATCTAATGATATCTGTTATGCATCCTGGTAACAAGCATAAAAATGTTGAGCTCTATGCAATTTAATTCAAATAATCTCATGTTAGAAAAGTTACGTCAGTTTCCTATTTCAACTAGTCGTTCTTTTAAACTATAGAGTGTCTACACGTAATAACAAGATAAGATCTATCTATCACAATGATCACTTAAAACGATAATACGCAGATGTAAGAAAATCTTGAAGATTTTACGCGACTTCTAAGAAATCGACCCAATAAACTCATAAAATGAAAATGAAAAATTATAACTTTGTCGTTAGATTGAATATATATATATATATGTGTGTGTGTGTGTGTAATGTGCACTTTTGTACAAATCCGGAACGAGCCGTATAGTCTCACATAGTTTAATTTATTGCAAATGAGATATCTCGAACGTTTCCGCAGAGTTAGAAAATTCTGAAAAATTTATCTACGCCTCCTACTGTTTTAATCTTAATCAAACGTGCTCGGAATTTCTAATACAAACCGTATCAGAGATACTGTACTATACTAATACAATATATTCTACGATAGTTCAAAGTAAAAAGAATTCTTAATTAATACAATTAAAAATATATAATATATTTATTTTTTGAATAAGTGTAGTACTCTGTTTTTTGTGGATTATCAAGCGAACGTTTTATAACACTCTGTTTTACTGCAACCAAATTTGTATAGTATAATATTTTAATTTATTAATACCTATTATCAATTTTATATTCGTTTTAATAACCATTTTTAACCACAGATGTTCTAATATTTTAAAACATTTTATTACCGATAAAACCGCGCAAAGTATAATATAAAGATTAGTAAGCACGTTCTTTATCAATGCAGGTAGACTGCAATGCGACAATAAAACATGATTAATGTTGTATTATTATTCCCACCGTTCGATACAACATCCCTTTAATTTGAATGACAAAAACTTTGTTATCTGATATTAAAAGAACATCATTTAATATGTATTAATAAATCATCGTAATAAGAAAATTACAATAATGTGGGTGGAATAAAAAATGAAAGGCTAAAGAATCGCAAGAAGATAACAATATATGACTCATGCATGCACCAATACATATAAATAAATACATGTGTTTCTAGTAAAAAAAAAATAAATTCTTCTCAAAGCATCTACCTCGACGAATATTTCCTTTTACTCAATTTCCCCCCCCCCCCCCATTAAAACTATATCCCATATTATTTTTTGGCAAACAATGATTATCTCTTCAATAGATAAATATCTCTTGAAGAGATAATAAAATGAAGAAAAAAGGATATTTAATTGGATGGAAAGAAAAAAAAAGTGACCCACTTATATGTAATTAATATTTTCACAGTTTGCAACACTGGACAGAAACACGTAATGCAAGTTAGTGGAGGATAATTTACAATTGAAGGCCAGGTGCAAATGCGAACTCTTATGTTGTAGCAACAGCAATAACAACAACAACATGAGTTTAATATAAGTGCATTTCCTTCAACTCTTACTATGATTTATTACTAACTTGCATGTATACAATTCCGTGATGTTTATTTAGTCTACGTTATATTCCTTGCAGTGTTAATTAACCCACAAAAAGCAACATGATGTTTTTTTTTTTCCTTATCTAAAAGATGATTGGTCAATACCGTACTGGTACGATTCTCATTGGCAGATTGCCACGCACACATACTTAATGAAATGTTTATACAGTGGTTCTTTACATCAGATTTCGCGATCACCCCACTCCAAAGATTGTCCTCGAGAACCTGGCTAAAACTAATAACATGCAGCTCATTCTAATGCGTGACTCGACCAACTGTATCATATTCGTTTCAACTTCTTTAGAAGATTGACGTGTTGTGACTGAGCTCTACTTACATTTCATTTATTATTATTATTATCCAAACTAGATAATATACAATAGATTTGTTAGATTTAACAAAGTTATTATATTAATCTTTCTATATCTTTCTTTCTCTAACTTTCTTGTTTCTCTTATCACAAAATTTTCTTTTTTTTCCCATTGTTTCATTCACTATTGTTAACATATTGTTATCATTAAACTTTGGTTAGTATAACAAAAAGAAAACATTTATCATTTATTTCTTATCAATCGAGAACACACATTCGTGGTTGAGAACCATTAAACGCCATTTTAAAGTAACAAGAAAGTTACCCAAAAAGAAACACAAAAAACAAAACAAAAGAAGAAGAAGAAGAAGAAGAAGAAGTTAGATTGACACACACCGATCTGTACAAACTAAATTTGCACGTTCTACTTGTGATTTTTCTTCTTTTCCCATAGTCAATCCACTAAAGAAAGGGGAAAACAAAAACCAGTGTTAATAAACTCGATTTAAAGATTTTCTTTGTCGAAACACTACATAACGTAGAGTATTTCGTTGAAACTAAGATGGGCGTAGAAAACAAGGTGCGTATACAAAAATGGACACGTGCAACACACATACTTTTCCAAATTTATTATTTTATTTATAAGTTAGGCCTCTCTATCTCTCTCTCTCTCTTTATATAATTGTGCACTTTTTAATATTAGAAAGTTTCGTAATATTTATACTTTATTTCATTATTTCTACTAATCACATTTCGTACAGTACCACGTCATTTTTTTCTAATCTCTCGTAAAATATAAAACTGAGTAAACAAAAAAATATTCTAGCTGTTACTATGCTTGTTTTACGCTAGAGGTCTGACCAATAACTTTCGAGATTTAGAACACTATTTTTAATGCTTACAACTCTTCTTTCTTACGTGTTTTTTTTTTTAATTCTTCTTTTGGATAAAAAAACTAATTTCTAAAAGAGATTATTTAAAATAATCGTATTCTTTTGTTTTTTCTTTGTGATTGTTTATTCTTGGGAAAAAATTGAAATGAATTTATATAAAATAAAAAGAAAATTTTTATGAAGAAAATAAAAAAATTCTCTTCCTTTAATTTTTTTTTAATAATATCTTCTTTCATATATTTTAACAAATAAAATTGTTAAATTTATTTAATTATCGACGCGCTCTAAGTTTATACACAGTTCGTTGTGATTTTAGTAGATGGCAAGTAGTGGCGCCATTTTTAAATTATTTCGAAATCGATTGACGACATATTTGGTTACGGTAAACAGGATTGAATCATTGGAAAAACTAGAACGTAAATTAATCCTTTTTTTATAACGATCAATTTCAGTATAACTTTCTTTTTTATCAATAGAAATTAATGTGAAGCGTATTACAAATAGTAAAAAAGAATATTTAAATGTAAAGAAAGATGATTAGATATAGATACTTGGAAATGGAACATTGATCGGTACGATGCGCAGGCCTGCGATCATACATTCGGTGCAATATTCGTAGAAGACAGGTGCTAGAGTCACAAGAATGTTTCTAACAAGAATAATGGTGGCAAAATAATTAAATAATATATATTTTTCTTTAATTATAAAAAAAAAACTTCTTCTCAATATCACGCGAAAGGTATTATTTTTTTTGTTTTCGATAAAAACTAAAAACGAGAACAAATCGAATAGAGGAATGTGTGAAAGAATTATTTGTTTCCATTTGCAGTGTGTATAATTGTGTCTACGATTAGTATCTAATTTATGGATAAAAATCTAGAAAATAATAGTGTGCATTGTGTGCATCGCGTCGTCGTCTTCTTCATTCTCTTCCTCGTTGTACTTGGAATCCATTGAATTATAAACGTCGATGAAACGATCAGGAGTAACTTCGAGGAGGAATCTGCGTCATTTGCAGGATACGAAGGCGTGTCTCTTCGTATTCTTCCTCTACTACTTCTAATAATTCTACCTGTAATAAAAGCGCGCCATCGTTTTTAAATATAAATACAAAAAGACAAATTTTCAATTGAGATTATAGGATCAATTAAATAGGAAAATTAAAAAAAGAAAAGAAAATATCTTTGAACTACCGTTTTCAATCAGCAGGTTCGATATATAGAATAATAATTAAGGTTATGGCACTCAACAAATGCATCCTTCTATCTTCACATTTTTGTATAATCTTTCGTGTTAGGCTAATTTGCAAAGCACTGTTTTTCTTTAAGCTTTATTTTGTCTTTAAATATTTATATCTAACGATAATATATTATAATCGTTTGCACAAAATTATTTCACTTATGTTAATAATATATTGTTTACAATGCACTAATGTTCTCTTTTGTGTGTGTGTGTGTGTTTTTTTTTGTTCTTTTCTCTCATACAGATGTCAGGAAAAAATCTCGAGATGAGGGAAACAGCTGCACGTATCTGTCGAGATTATCTTCATGGTGTTTGGAAGCGTGTTACTGCTGAGAACATTACCCTAAAACGTATCAGGTTAATAAATCTTTGATTATTTTACAATACCTATAATATCGTAAAGCTCTAATTCAGCGTTTCTTGACTTTATTTTAATCATATACCCAGCAGTGTTTAATGAACCTGAGTAGACTGGAGTCATTGTTTATTATCTTAAAAAGATACACCTGTTGTATCGCGTCATTATCGCGAAAACATTCTACAGAAAAATTTGCTGATTATATTTTTGAAATAAATTCATTGGCTTTTATCAATGCACGCAAGATTGCCATCCATTACTTTTCAGTTACAAAACTTTTAAGACTCGCGTAAGTTGAGAAACGCTGTTGTGCTATAAAAATTGTAATATACGAGGAGTGTGTGTTAAAATAGTTTTATATAAATAATATTATTGATTTATTTGACCGGTTCTTTTTTTATATTTTTCCTTTTCTTTTTTAGCGGTGGCCTGAGTAATTGGCTTTACAATGTTCAATTGCCAGACGGTGCTGTACCAATACGCGGAGAACCGCGGCAAGTTTTATTACGATTGTACGGTCAAGTACACGGGGAAAGGGCGTTGGAGGGACTTATCACCGAATCCGTCATATTCACGCTACTTTCAGAGAGGCGACTTGGTCCCAAATTGCACGGCATATTTCCCGGTGGACGTATCGAAGAATACATACCGGCTAGACCATTGTTAACCAAAGAATTGTCCGATCCAACATTGAGCACGATGATAGGTGAAAAAATGGGACAGATACACACGATGCAAGTACCGATTAGTAAAGAACCTACTTGGTTATGGGATACCATGGCCAAGTGGCTTGCCACAGCAACAGATATTTTAGAAACTGTTGATGAGGTAGATCCCCGTCAACACGAAAACGTTTACACTCTAAGATCGATAGATCTCGAAAAGGAAATCAATTGGTTCAGGTAAAAATATATATTTTATTTATAAAAAAAATATAAAAATTCATTTCTTAATTATTATATCCAATATAAAAAGTTCCTACCATCTTTCCAATAATTGTAATGGCACAGTTTGATATAATTTATCAATGATTATTTAAAATTTCGCGATTATATGTTTATATATTGAGTGTTTGTTTCGTAATAATTGTTTCTTTTACCTTTTTCTTTTTTTGTTTCAGGGACCTTGTCGCTCGAGAAAAATATCCAGTAGTATTTTGTCACAACGATATGCAAGAGGGTAATATCCTTCTACGACAAAACTCACGGAAAACTGAGTTAGTTGTTATCGACTTTGAATATTGTTCATACAACTACAGAGGCTTCGATATCGCTAATCATTTCATCGAATGGCAGTACGATTACACGGAAGGGAATTATCCATTCTTCCAAGAACGAACTGATTCTGGGCCTTCTAAAGAGCAGAAGGTAAGTTAGCGGGATACTGGGGAAGGAAGGGTCGCAAAATTAGATAAACAAATGAATTGGTAAGGCTTTTTCATCAGCTTTTTTTCCACCCCCCTTCTCCCTCGATTACTTATAACTACATTTTTATTTATTTGTTACTTATCGTTAGGAGCATTTCCTCCTACCATCCATATATACATATATATACATATATTATAAACAAATGCACAACTACTGTGTTTTATGCATTAGTTTATATATTATATATATATATATTTTATCATCGTATTTTTTCGCGTACAAAAAGTAACGTTTAAGATAACTTAACGTAACTCGCACTTGTTTTAAAGTACATATCTTGTTTTTCCTTAAATCTTTATTATTTTATTCAAATATTATTATTATTATTATTATCGTTACGTGTTGAAATTGTAAGACGATATTGATTCCTTGTTATTTTTCGATTTACTTCAAATACAATTGTAATCCTTTTTTTTGTTTCCTCTTTCTCTCTCTCTTTTTTTTGTTTAATAATTAAACGAGATACGTACCAACAACATTTGTGCGAGAAGCAGGCGCGTTAAGCCCATTTGTTGTATTGTTCTATTTGCGAGAAGGGTGAACACCTTGGCGTGTGTTGCGTGTGTATGTATTAGTTTCACAGGACTGCAATTGAGGGATTGAGAGACAGGATCGATGCACGCTATCAGGATAAATTGGGCGGCATATGAATCTTGCCACTGCGACGTATCCTGACTCGTACTCTCCAAGTTATGGAACCAGAACCACCTGTGTGCCATCTACCCCATGGCGAAACAGCACACCCTCCCACATCTGCTCGTCTACGAACCTAGAGTACTTCTACACGCACTCACGATAGTTGAATCCGTAATCTTCGTAGATTCTCGATGCAACCAATCAAAAAAAAAAAAAGGCTGTGTGTGTCCTTCGTTTCTGTCTTTTTTTTTTTTCTTTTCTTTTTATTATTATCATTGATATATTAAATGTTGTTTTATTTCGAACGACGATTATACACCATAAACGAACATTCGTTTTGTTTGGTCTCAATAATCATTATTTTATCTTTTTGATCAAATCATTTTTAAATTAAAAAAATATATATATAAAGTATATTTCTATATTATGCGAATTAAAAGTAAACTACGAGTGTGATTTTTGTTTTACAAGCAAAGATAATAATTGGATTCGTGTCTATTGAGAGAGAATCATCATATTATATCAATTTATAATATTTTTATATTAATGAATATAGAAGATTAAAACAAGGAGACACCTTCTGTATTAATAAGAATATTTGAATTATATTATATACGCGAAAAAGAAAGTGTATTATGTACAAACAAACACGCACGTACACACACACATAAACACAGACACACATGCATCCATATATATATATAATTATATAAAACAGAAAATCAAAGGTCTCCAAATTTATATATATATATATTATTTTATAGTTAAACATACCTTTATCATTTTCTTTTTTCTTTATGAATATTTGTTAAAATTAAAATTTGATGTTAAAACATAGAGGCATGTTTAACTTTCAAGCATATAAGATCAAATATTAGATAATGTATTACATAATCAATTTGTCTTAAGACAAATTAGTTAGCATACATGTTCAATTTGTTTGCCATCATTAAAATAGATAAATAATTGATGAAAAATTTTGAACATTCACATATATATATATTGGAATATGTATATATTCTTGTTAATACTAATCGTGATATTCTCTCTCCCAACAGCTCAATTTTATCAAGAGTTACTTGAGAACAGTCCAGAAGGAATCACAGACGGAAGAAGAACGTATTATGATGGAAATTAAAATATTTTCTTTAGCCAGTCATTTGTTTTGGGGACTCTGGAGTATTGTCAATGCTAAATTATCTGAAATACCGTTTGGATATTGGGTAAATTAATGACTTTACCATAAAGCAAAAATCATTATCTATAAAAGTTGCATTTTATTTATCATATCTAATAATATTTGGTATACTTGTAGGATTATGCAGTATGCAGGCTAAAAAATTACCAATGTTTAAAAGAAAAATTGATAATGTCAGAACAATCAACGTTGCACGACATTAACAGGAGAAAAGTAACCGATACTGATTGAAACAATAACAAATAATCATTATCATCGAAGAGTGAAACTCTCCTCCCTTAAATGGGAAAATTTTATTTTTATCAGCCCTTAGACGTCAATGAACAATTGATAAAAACAACATTGAAAAAAGAAACAAAAAAAAAAAGCATAAAAAGCAAATATGGCTGATATGTACTAGTATTAGAAAAGAATTTGGAACACCGACCCATTGGTAGAAATTATCGCGACATACAATGGACGAATCTTTCCATTTGACATATTTTTCATAAAAAAAAAACAAAATAAAAAAAAAAATAAATAAAAAAAGACCAGAGAGATAGGAAAGAAATTACGATGGAAAGATGTGATATAGAAGTAAAAATACATCGATCGATGTTTTGATCTTTTTGAAAAAAGATTAAGGGAGTATTCGGGAATGATCAAATAGGAATAACAAAAATATTCACTATTACGAGTTGTAAGGAATGAAAAGATTATAACAGTTAAAGTAACAAGGGAATGTGGGTGTGATAGAAATATATATTTGTGGAAGAATAGAGAAAACAGAAAAGATCCAACAAAACGGTCATTACGAATATTTGATAAATATGTGTCTTAATTGTTTACAATGTGAAAGTGAACTTGCCTGCAAATAATTGCACTGTACTTAACGAACATAGATAATACACGAATAATTCACGTTTATTTTTACATAAAATAAAAAGCAAGAAGAAGAAGAAGAAGAAGAAAAAATAAAAAAAAGATATCACATTTTGCACACTTAGTATAAATATAAATATATAGAATCTGGTACGATAGAGCTTATTTATGGTTCTCGCATAATTAATCTGTAAATATTTCAATTAAATTCAACAGCAATATTATCCATCTTCTTTATCACACAATAATCTGTGTATATTAATAATTATCGATTATTTTACATTAGATTCTGCAAAGAAAGAAATAGAAAAAAAGGGAAGGATAAAGAGGATGTCATTAAAATATTATCATCATTGAAAAAAAAATTATTTATAATATAAAAGCAATTTTGGTAGAATTAAGTTGAGCAGATGATCCAATTGACGATGCACAAAGAAATATTCGCGTTGCGTGATTAGGGATATTATTAATTATTAAATATATATATATATATATATTTGTATAAATGAATATTAAATGAAAAGAAAAATTGCAGATCATTATTTTTATCGTTAATTAATTTTAATTATCGTTGATATCATCGCGAAGGGTGATGATAAATGTCCATTTTTAAATTTGTTTACTGCTCTCTACTACCAGTGTTGTGTATAATATTGCTTTATATTTTTCCGTAGGATGAGATAATATATCGCATTTTTATTGTACAAATAAATATATAATATATAATATATAGGGACACACACACAAGTATAGTTTAAATAGTAAAGAAGATTCTTTAACAAATATTTGAATCTTATATTGTAAATATATACACGTATATAATATATATAATATATATAATATATGTATATATTTTTAAATAAAGATGCTCTTTAAAAATGTTCTATATAATCGCTTTATTATATTCGTAATATTAATTAAATATATTTGTTGTTTTTAACATTATTCAAAAGAAATAAATTGAATTTGTGCGTTTGACAAATGAAATGAAACTATTATAATTTATATTTTAAATAAAATAAAATATATATGAGGAACATTATTAAATGGCAAATGATATAAATAACATACTTTATTATATGTCTATAGAAATATATATTTTTTTCGTTTTATTCGATCAATAATCGTGTCTTTAAATTTTCTAATATTTCGGTCATTTTATTCTCTAACACGTTGCGACGTTTTATTTCTTCTTTTTTATCCTGTAACAAAAGATAATTATTTATAACTAACAGAAGAAAATAATTCAACGACAATTACGATCTATGATATTCTATGTACACTGTCTTTCGAGGGGAAGAAACACACAATGTCAATAATAATACCTTTATAATAACAATTTTAAGATTTATTTAAAACAATCTATATAATCACATTTTATACAACGTAACGTATATAATAATTATAATATGTTCAACATTAAACAAACAAAATACGAGCAATCAAAAGAAAAAGCATAAAGTTTATTACATTAATTTTTATTTTAACATATATATATATCTCATTTCTCTAGATTACAATAAAACCCATAAACGATCTAAACATTTGTTTATTAAGGTAAAATAGATTGGTGATAAATTTCGTAGTGCGCCGGTACAGATGTTGTGAAATATCCTAAATTATTAGCATTATTCTGATAAACAATTTTACGACGAGTAGGAGTAACAGTTGAACGATAGAAATTTTCTTTTAAACGATCATGATCATTAATAGGAACGATCACGTTAGTTTGTTCCGTACTATCAAAAATAAAATCAAACGGTGCCGGCCAAATTTGAACTTCTTTAGTTTCACCTTCGTGCAATTTTTTCGCAGTCAATCTTTCCGGAAGCCCAATTTTCGGAGTTAAGTCTTCCACTTTTGGTTTTTTTCTTGGTAATCTTTTTTCTTCGATGATACTTCTTGAATGATTAGCTTTCTTGATTTTTTCGGAATGAAAACGACGTGCTCTAGCTTCTTCGAGTTCGTCTGGCCCATTAACATAACGAATTGGTAAAATGTACGGCGAGTGTTTAACAAAAGCAAACTCGTCAAACGTTTTATTTTTTATCGGATTATTATTATTATTATTATTATTACGAATGTTACTACTTACCTTTTTAGATATTAATTCGTTCGAATTAATTTGTTTAGTTTTATCTACGAATAAATTAGACTCGCTATCCTCAATTCGATCATTTGTATTCGTAGTAGTTTGATCGTATCGATCATTATCGTTATTTGGATTATCCGACACATTGATATTCTCTAATTCCGATCTATCGGTAGTTTCTAAATTAAATTCTTCGTATTTATTTTCCAATGGTGTTATAGCATATTCTTCTCGAATTTGTTTGTAAGGATCTTCGTTGTTCCGTTCAATTTTTATCAACTCGTATCGTTCCTCAGACTTTTCCTCGGATTTGTTGATTGATTCTGAATTTTTATTAGAATCCTTATCGTCATTTTGTTGATTCTTATTCTTGTCGAAATAATTAGCGATTCTTTCGTCCACCAATGCACGATTATCTAAAATTTCACCGTAACTGTCGCGTAATTGTTGGGGTGGTTTCTCTTGTTCGTAATAATCACTTATAGGTAATGGTTCTTTGATATTTTCTTCTCTTTCATAATTTTTATAAGAATCATTCTCGTAATCTTTGTCATTTCCGGTATTTTGTAATCGTTGTTTTTCATTCGCAGGACCTCCTCGTGGATATCCTGGATGTTCTTCGTATCGTTCACCTGAATTTTCGGATTCCTCGTCGTTACTTTCGTGCCTTTCTTCTTTAATATTTTCTGGATGTACTTCTTCTCGATCATTATCTTCTTTTTCGCGATTTTTCGATTGTTCTTCTTGCTCGGAATGATCCTCTTCCTGATAATTATGATTTTGTTGTTTTTCTTCTTCTTCTTCCTCTTCTTCTTCTTCCTCTCCTTCCCCTTCTTCCTTTTGTGGATTTATTATTTCTTCCTGTTTAGGATGATAACTATGATTTCGTTCTCTTTCACGTTCCTTCAATCTTTCAGCATATTCTTCCTGTTGGCGTTCCAATTGAGCAATCCTTGCCTCGTGCAACTTTTTCCAATATGGTTCATCGATATAAATATTATGTTGAAATTTACTTTCCGGTCTGGCAACATCCTTCTCGCTTTGAATTTCTTTATTTTCGACGCTATAATTTTCAATATTCTCATTCTTCCTATAAACAATTTCTTGTTCCTTTTTACGTGGGACATTAATAATATTCATTTTAGGAGAATTGTTTATCATTGTTGAAGATATTGGTGGTGGAAGATTAGGTGCTATCGGTAAAGGGATTTTTACTAAAAAAGGAGTCAACAATGGTGGCCTATATTTTAAGGAATCCCTTATATCAAACGATGACATTGTACTGAATGATGCTGGAGTTGTTGATACAGGTGGTGGCATCGATGATGATAATGACGACGGTGATGGTGATGATGGTGCAGCAGATGCTGTTTGATCACCATGAAATATTCTTTCGTATTGTTGCAAATGCCCAATCACGTCGGATCTATTCCCAAAATTAACAACACCGGTAAATCTTATTGTTTCTCTTTGTCTTGGTTGTGCTGGGGTTGTCGACATTGGCATCATTTGAGATGACGAACTTTGCTGCATTGGTGGTTGCATCGGTGGTTGCATTAGTGGTTGCATCGATGGTTGCATCAGTGGTTGCATCGGTGGTTGCATCGGTGGTTGCATCGGTGGTTGCATCGGTGGTTGCATAGAAGGACTCTGATTGTTCCCAGATGCACCTGCATTATTGTCAGTTCCAATTGGATTTGGTAGCGTTGACAATTGTATCGGGGCCACGTTGTATCCAAATATTTGTGCTAATCCTGACAAAATCAAACCCAATGCACGTTTGTCTCGATACTTATCGGTGATGTTCAAATTTTCGCTGTTATTGTAAATATTTCTGATAGAAGATAATTCCGGAATGGAAAAGTTTTTGTACTCGATGCCATTTGCGTATACGAAATAAAATAAGTAGAGTATACAGTATGATAATTCGAAGAGTTTCATTGTTAATAATAAATTTATTTTCAAGTTTCACGCATCGAACAACATGGCACAATACTTTTGTTAATATTTTTAATAAATTTCGTTTTGTTCTAGAAAATAATTTCACTCGCGAATTTATCAAAATATGAGTACAAAGATTTCATGAAATACAAATTCTTTTAACGGTGATTTAAAAATATATTAATGTTTACCAGTCAACGTGATTCTTTGAACTGAGAAGGAATGGCGTATGATTAGAGAGGATAAATTTTTGCATAATATCGGAAAGAAATGTCGAGAGAGTTTCTCCTCAATTACACGCATCCACTTGTTGATTTGCGACAACTGAAGCGGCAAGTTTTACTTGTACTACGTAGAGAAAAGGAAACTCATAAGACTGACGAACTGATACTATTGATTCTGCTAAATAACATAAAATCTTATGGATCACGGTTGACTTAACAAATGAACGTTTTTTATTATTTTATTTTATTTTATTCCACGTTGAAAACTCGTTAAAATCCAATAACGCGAAACATATCCTAGAAGAATTTTTTGGTTGGTAAAAAGAAATAATAACGTTCTCCCGAATAGAAACTTTCCCCCTTTTTCGGAATCTATTTAAACTTTGATTCAATATTTTAATCCACCTCTATGTATATTTAGATATTATTTAATAACTCGTGTTTTATACAAATCAGAAATTCGTTTAGTTTCTTTTTGTTTTTTCATTCTGATCGAGTGAAAGCGCTGATGCATTATTAATTAATAAAAATAATAGAAAAAAAAAAAAGAAAAACGACAATAACGAAATTACACAAGTAAATGAACGCAAAGTATTGAAAAATTGTTTTTCCTAAATTAATTGAAAGGAATGACAACTGATGGTGGTTAGATACTTCCGTTCCGATAAGTTACATCATTTTGCATATAATAATGCAAATAAAAAAAAAAGGGGGAAGAGACGTTCATGATATTCTTGCGAAATGACTGGTGGTGGTTCATCGATTCGAAACGTACGAATTGCCTTGGTCTTTTTTACGATGATAAATGTTTGTCTGTCTTGTGAGAAAGAATTACATTGAATCGAAAGATAGAGTTTACCTTCCGATTCGACTTTCATAAGCACCGGAGCTATTTAACTTATTCCCAAGCAGGAGAAAGTTTTCGCCATTGGCACTGTGTTGTGTACCTGTGTGGATATCAGTTTCCTAATCCAGTACTACAAAACCTCCCGGAATCAAAGAAGGAAGGAACAAAAACTAGCTCTCTAATCAGACAAGACAGAAACCCCGATATCGTAGAAAAATATATCAATATCTATCTCGAGAGATTGTATTTAATTCTATTGATTTATAATACAATTTTTATCATTTAAATCTTTTTATGATGAAACAATTTGACAACAACATTTTTACACACATGATATTATTTTTGATAATAATTGATAAAAATATATTCTAATATTTTGTTTTAATTAATGATCAAGTCGCATTAACTGTACACTATCGACAAGTATGGGTTTTTGTGTCTGTAAAACAAGACACCGGTAGACACTGCGTAGACCAATTGAATTCCGCGTTCAGGTTCTCTCCTTAAATCGAATTCGTGCAATGATCAGTCTTTGATACAAGTGATTACGTAGTTAAACAATTCTCTTAGTAGGACCAGTTTTAAGAATTTAATGTATCCTGACGAACGAGTTACATGAACAACTTGGTATAAAAGAAGTGTCAACTTTCTGTGACCACGTTAGTTCAACGGTACACGTGGCTTAATATGAAGCTACTGGTAAGACATCGAAGAAGTCTTTTGTAATCAATAATCTATGGAACTAATTAAAATCTAATTGTATTTGTTTTATCAGTTGCTTCTTGGGTTGATCGTCCTGGTTTTTGGCCAGGAAACAATCGTCTCTACGAGATCAAATGAAAATAAGGAAATCGAAGAGCAACCAACAACGATACTCCAAGCGCAACCAAATAATCAAGAAGGTGAAACTAATAAAAAATTAAATAAGAGAAGTTATGGTTGGGGTCCTTGGGGATACGGCGGAGGTGGTTATGGTGGTTATGGCTGGCCTTGGTAAGAATTTTCTTCCTGCGATTAAAACAATTATTTTATGCATTTGTTCTTAAAATATATTATTTTTATTTTTAGGTATGGTGGATGGGGTGGAGGATGGTATAATGGTTGGTACCCTAGTTGGCCTTGGTGGTACGGTGGTCATGGAGGTTGGTATGGCGGTGGTCATGGTGGATGGTACAAAAAATGGTAATCTATGAAAGATCAACGGATTATCATTGGAGAAGTGTGTCTGTGTGTGTATCATCATATTCTCTAAACTAATAACACGAGTATGACAAATTTATAATAATTAGAAAATTAATTTGATCGAAGTAGAATAAAAATATAGATGTTAGGTAAATGTTAACACGTAAAGTTAGCTAGTGAACAAATTCACTATCATCCTCACACTATCATTCACACATCATCCTCTTTTATCATCTATTATTTACATTATATATTATACATAAATACAAAAATATCATTTATATGTCACATTTTAATTAAATAAATAAAATATACGAATTCATAGAAATAATCGGTATGAATATTAAAATTTTTCATTAGTTTCAACACGTACCTTTAATCGTTTCCTTAAATAAGTCGTTAGTATTTCCTCGCATACTGTTAAGTTCTTATCCATGTCCTAGAAAATATATAAAATAATGTTTTTTATTAATTTCATTCAATTAAAAATTCTGTCCTATAATATAATAATTTAATATTAACCTTTAACATATTCGTAAGCTCCTCGATCTTTCGTAATTTAGCTTGTTGCTCTTCGAAAGTTGGTTGAACATCGTAATCATGATTGGCTTCTGTAGAAAGCATAGCAGTAGGCGAGAATTTAATTATATTTCCAACACCTTTAATTAACATTCGTAGAATATATTGATGAAAAAATTTACTACATGTTTTGACAAACAGGAGTAGTTAGATACTATATATGTTGCTTAGAAACCGAAAAGCAAACAAACGTTTATCAATATTTTACACAGTTATCCGAAAAACAATATCCTTATAATATTTTTTAAATCATTTTCTAACGTTATAAGTTCATTTATAATCTAATTAAATAATTAAATATATATATAAATATATATATAGAAATAATAAATTGATTAATGAAATATAAATGCAAACGGGACGACTTTATACGCGTATGCAAACGTGTTGCTTATCATCAGGGGCACCCGGCTCAAATTTGTTTCTACGTTTCTTCGCTAGATGGTGCTCGTAAGAACTACGATAATCAATATTTATTATTACAATGTAAATTCTGTGCTTACAAAGTCTGACTTTTAATTAAATACTTTTTAATTTAAATAATTTCTAATATTCGGGTAATGTTAATATTATTTGTTTTAAACATTAATATATAAAACAAAGAAGACATTTACGTAGTTGTAACCAGACAACGAAGAGTTAAAAGCGCGCCAGATTATACTTTTAATACGTTCTAAAAAAAAACAACAAAAATGGGGCGTACTGTAATATCTGAAGTATCTCTTCGTTCTCGTTTAACATCCTTTGGTACGTCAGGATACGAAGTGGGATTAATTTTAGGACAGGTCAGATATTTATTTTTTATTATTTTGTTAACATTGTCGTAGTCGTCAATTTTATTTTATTCTAACATATGTCACACTTAAGTAGGTTATGGCAAAATATGTTTTTAAATGTTGCTGTACATTTTATATCAATTTAATATTATTGTATATTATTTTTTTAATTATATCTACTTTGTTTTTGTTTTACTGTTAATATACACAATAATTTATAAATAATATGAAAATATATTATAGAGTTTGGAAAAAGAAGATTATTTCATACACTTAGCGAGAACACCACCACCCCGTACTAAAAATGTTGTCGAAGAAACTTTGATCAGTTCTTTGGATGGTACTGATGAAAGTGATTCCAAAAAAGATTTTGAATCTATTCAAGATATACAGGAATATTGGTTAGCAGATCATGCTACTGATGTAAGTATTTGCTTCTATTTCATAATTTTATTTTTTCACCTATTAATTTTTCTTTCTTTTCTTTGATTAAAGGTTACAAGAATGTTGCCTGGGGGAATGCGCATACTTGGCATATTTCTAGCTGGGCCCGAAGATATTTTAGATGATTCTGATAATGTAGATAAGTTAACAGTAGCTCTTGTTATTATTCTCACCAATTTTTTACAGAACAGATATCTTTGTGGAGTTAATCGATATTATTATATATTAATTTACAACAGCAAAACGCAAAGGTAAAGAAACTTCTTATTTTTTAGCTCGATCTTACTCTTTTTTTATTTAATCCCTTGCGCTATAACAACATGTGAGTGCATTGAATCATAGTGCAAGGGATTTATCTTGTAACAGATACTTATACGTATGTGTTTGAATTTTAATTCTATCTACATTTCAGTTTTTCGTTCACAGATATGTCTGTAAAATGATTGATGATTTGAGAGGAGAATGTACATTGAATCCAGTTGACATCAAGTTTCGTAGTAAGAGGATTCCTTGGATCGAACTTGAAACTGCTATTAATTTAGATAGAATGTTCTGTATACCAGCGAGTAAAGAACTTAAATCGCTTAAACAACAATTGCAGGTATTGTCAATTTCAGTTATTATAATATTCATTGTTTATATATTTTAAATGAAAAAAACATATGGTATAATATTGAATTATAGGAAATATTAGAAGACGTGTCAAAAATGATAGATTCTGCACTCATTACGATAGAAGGAAAAATCAGATCATCAGAAGATGCTATTGAGACAATAATAGCAAATGAAACTGACAAAAATCAACTGCAAGTTGATTTGTACATTCCTTGTGTTAGTAATTCAATAGAAAATTTACAATTGTATAGTTAATACAATATTATATACAATTTTCATTTTTATGATTATTTTAAACAGGAGAAATCAACATCTATAGAAGCAAAAATAAAACCTTGTAGCGAATCATTATGGTTGATAGGTCAATTGGTTAGTAAAACATTCGTAACTGACAAAACAAGTATCAAAGAAGCTACTACTGCAATAAAAGAAGATATAATAAGATCATTGGCCAGTAGATTAGAAATGCACGTTGACAGTTTGATCGAAGAGGAAAATGGCTCTCCTGAAGGTTCATTTGTATTACATACAAATAATATTATTAACATATCTTCATATAATTCTTATTAAAAAAAAATCAATTACTTTTTTTAGAAAATATTACATTACATGAACCACCAAGAAGAATATTAATACACTTACATAAAAGTAGGGTAACATTATCGAGTTATTTATTTCCTGGTGAAGAACCACAAGAAGCATTAGTATCTTTGCAAGAACTGTTAGACGTAGACGTCGAGGATTTAGACATTCAAAAAGAAATAGAATGTCATGCAGGTAAATTAACTTATTACAATTAATATTATTTCGTGAATGTGTGAAGAAAATAATACGAAATTTCTTATTAATACAGAATCCATAGATAATTGTCAGTGCGGTCCTCCTATTATACCAGTAAATATAAAAAAAGTTGAGAATCATCTAAACAGTTTACACATTATTGGTTTAGGTGTTGCTATTCTTATAGGTGTTATTGCGATGGTTTTCCATCATTTATATTAATTAACTACAAAAAAAGTAAGCAATTCTTTTTTTTATATGTATATATATATACTAATGTGATAATTCTGGTATTTGAAATTTATAATATAAAAAAAATATAGTCAGAAGAAAAGTCTTTTTCTTTAAATTGTGCTATATTATAATTTTTTAAAGATACAATTAACACGATATATTCATAATATGTATATACAGAATGTCATATACATTGTAATATATACAAAAAAAACAGAATATATATATATCGTAATTATTTTTAATAGTAATTTTCTTTTCTTTTATATATATTTAAAATATACATTATTTATAACATTATATTCCTGATATATATATATATATATATATATATATATCATTAAATATTTAACTATTTATGTAAATAAAATATGTTTCGTTTAGACCATGCCAAATCAACAAATAACAAGATGCTGTTGTGTTTAATATGAAAGTAGTAGTTACTCATAAATAAGGCAGTGATAATCATATTATTTCGTTTAAATGCTTCATAAGAACACTGCATCGTTTTACATTAAATTCATTAAATGCTTTCAAATTTTTTATATTATTTTTATGCTTATACTTATTTGTATTTACAAATGTATTTTTTACACTGTACAGAATAATTCTATTGGAAAGACATCATTTGAAAGTGTTATTATTATAAAAAAGTTCAATAGTAGTAAACATTTGTGTGTGAGTCATACTTACACTTACAATAGTTTTTTTATTTTTATATATATATATATTTATATATATATGCACACCAGAAAAAGTTTAATGATCGAATATATGCTACGTGGAAATGAGAAGCGAAAATCAGAAAAATTTGTATACAAACGTGTCGATAAGAGCCGGTATTGTATAAAAAATAAAAAAAGTTGAAGTAATCAATTGTAAGTAGTAAATAGTGCCGCTTCAATGAATTTTAAAAATATCAGTTTGCCACAAAAATAATCAATAATGTATTGGTTCAATTTTAATATACGCATATAATATACATGTTATATATATATGTGTGTATGTATGCTTCATTATGATTGATTTAATATAATTTGTAAAGATGAATAAGAAAACCCATTATCCATTAAATGCTAATATTGTACCCAGGTTCTTGTGGCTATGAGAAATATAAAATTGAGCTTCTTTCTTTTTTTCTTTTTCTTTTTCTTTTTATTTTTCTTCTTTTTCTTTTCTTTTCTTTTTTCCTTCTTTTAAATATTTTCAAATCTACTAAATTGTATAAATCACAAAAAATTTGGTAATCTTTGATTGTAAAAAACAACACTTACTAAGTCATTGCACATACTAAATCATTGCACTTGCTACACATACTTTTATATCACACAAATAGGCCTAAAATTCGATATCATGTCTTTAAGTATGTATATATATGTATATATAATAACTTTCCATTGGTAAATACTCTGATATAATGTTGAAAAAAGAGAAAAATGTGTATTCTGCGTGTGTGTATGTGTGTATGTTTGTAAATTAAATTAATCATAAAAATAGATGGAATTATGATACTGCTCCTATTTTAATAAGGCCTACTTGACTTCCTTTACCAACGCTAGAATCTTCCAATGAATCTAAATCTAATGCAGATTCAATCATGGTAGTATCTTGTAACAATCTAAGCCTTGACGCAGACAACGGAGTAGTTACGGTTACTGATGGTACTGTGCTGGTATCCAACGTAGAAGAAACTGCAACGTTTGGACGCGGAGGGAGTGGAGCAATTTCATCAATATCAATTGGAGCAATATTGAGCGATGCTAATGGTACTTCGTTGGTAACTAGCTGACTTACACTATTCGTAGTACTACCTAGAAAAAGATGAGCAATACAATTTTTAAATAGTTTCTTCATATTTTACCTAAAAGAAAAAAAAAAATATATATATATATAATATACCAGGAAATAAATATCAAAGTATATACAACGAGTTATTCTGTACCTTTGCAATGTACAACTTATGTAAGCATAATCATACATTTATTTATTATGTTTTAATTCACACGACTTTGTACAATGTGTGTTGTGCATATGTAATTTTATATTGTGTGAATTTCTTTTATTATTATTATTGTTTTATTTGTAAAAATCACGCACGCGAAATGTGTATGATTCTCGGATATACAAGTACCTTTTATACAGTTAGATTTCTCCATCACCACTGTTTTCTTTCCGAATGTAAAAATAAGTGTTTCTAGTAATTTTATATTATAATAATATTATAATAATTTGTGGAGATTTGACACTTATATGATGTATATAATAATATGTGGTATATATCTATATCTCGTGCAGAAAAAAAAAAATCTGAAATATTTTATTTCTATAAATAGAGATTAAAAATTAAAAAACAAATCGATACTATTTATTTATATCTATTTCTATAAATATTTACAAAGCTAGATTTATCTATATAATAGAAATGGATATATGAAATTTGTTAATTTTTTTTTATAGGAAGAAGCCAATGTGTATATTACTAATATCTGAATTATGACAATGTTCTATAAAATTAGTTTCGCGTGATAAAAAGACAACAGATATATATGACACAGTGATTTAGTTAAGATAATTAATAATGCCAACCCATTCATTTATTAGAACATACACTTAGTTCAGATGTAAGAAAGTAAACTTACCAAATGGAATTCTCTGAGCCCTCGATAACAGGATGTAATTTGAACAAAGAAAAATGATTCATTGAATTGTTATCGAATAATTTGACAGAAGCGTTAGTAACCAGTAACAAAAAAAAAGAATATTGTGTTAAATCCTACAGAGAAAAAATATCTAATAATTATAATTGGCGAGATAAAAGCACCTTTTTCAGATTTAAAATCATTTTTAACGATAAATATAAATTTTCAGTAAAAATACAAACGATATATATTATCAAAAATACAACTTAAAAAAAAAAACAAAAACGAAAAAAGTTCACACTCTTTCCTCGTAATAAATAATCAATATATATTTAAAAAAAAGATTCTCGTATAAAAAATCAAATGCAACTGTATATAAACATATGAAAAAGAATACTTAATAATTTACAAAAAAAAAAAAAACAAAAGAAAAATTCCTTATAAATTTATATTATCTACTATATACACAGCTCTGTTTTTAATATCATAAATTGGTTTCTAACAACAAGACGATAATTCGATATACATTGCACATTGTTATTTAAATGCACTACAACTTCTTGCTTTTTTTTGTTATTTCCTTTTTTTTTTTTTTTTTTTTTTTTTAAGAAAATACTACCAGTGCCATTTGGATACTACATTATATCCAATGCTATGATTACCTTATTATTATTGCCAGCTATGCTGCAATCATATTACATATTACAAAGGCGAGGCTGAATGTTATAAAGCTGTGGAGCGACAGCTTTACCAATATTAACTAACGCATAACGATAATGCATTTATTATAATGAATGTTAAATATCATCATTATCACTCATAGAATTCATGATAAATCTTCTATTCAAAAGATTTTCCTCTGTGCTATCGTTAGGACAAAATGAATTTTCAACGTAAGATAAATTATTACTTAACGGATTTGAACCAAAACGACTGTCTACAAGCCCTAATGCTTGTATAGGAATACCAGTAGCACCTAGTATACGGGCTGGTAATATATTTTTTGCTATCGGATATTTAATACCATTATCGGTGCATCTCAGATTATTATACTTCATAGTATGATGCGCTTGAGAAATTCGTAAAGGATCTTCTGAACGACACTGAGGAAATTTTTGTAAATCAGAGTAACCGTTTTTATCATCTATTTTATATTGCAGAGTATCCTCGGAATATCTTTGCGGATATTTTTGAAGATCGATCGCGTATTTGTGATCTTGTATGCACTGATCATATATTAAATTATTATCCGAACACCTGTGATACTCTTCTCTACATCTATGTGGATACTTATGAATACCTTTTTGAAATTCTGGATTAATCCTATCATTAACATTATATTTCATATGTTTTTCTTGAGGACAATGTGACATAGGATATGATGGAACATAAATATCACTTATAAACTGATGAGAATATTTTGGAATTTCATCAGTACAACGAGAAGGATGCCGTAAAAGAGACAACTCACCATTAATAGATTCTAATCTTGGAGAGTATCGACCAGTAACAAGATTATTCATAGAATCCGTTAGTTCTGTGGGAACATTAGTCTGCAGGCCAGTTCCGTTTGACTACAAATCACAAAAATCAAAGTAAATATTTCATTTATTTTCTCGATATATTAATTAAACTTTTTAATAAACCCCGTGTTACCTGTGGTTGGACAATCTTTACTGTTCCGTACGACTTATTATTAGCTATCACATTTTCATCAGAAACTCGTTCCTGTTCTGCACGGTACTCAGGAGTAACTATTCCTCTACGATCTGTATACAAATGAATGTATACAATTATCTTACAAATGATAGTAATCAAAAGAAGTGATGAAAATTACCAATTAAACTTGGTGGTGAAGGACCGCATAAAACATAGAAACAATTTCCACAAATATTTCCGCGACTATATGGATTGAAACTTTCTTGACCTATTTTACTTGTAAAAGAACCTTTGATCTGTAAGTACGATGAAAATTAATTTACTATTTTAAGTTTTTTATTTGTATTTATATTTCAGTTAACACTCACATCTTCATTAGTTGTCTGATTACTCGTGGCTAGATACGTGTGAAAACCAGCAAGACCCAAAATACTCCAAGCGGAAAAAAAGCATATCACTCCTACAATGACACTACCAGGAGATAATTTGACAGCTTCTAAAAATGGTCTGTCGTCTCTTGTAACTGAATACGATAAAAACACAGACAATTGTTATAAAATATTTTTGATAAGCCATTATTGTTTTTCATTTCATTTGTTTTTTCAGCATTTAAAAATACTCACGCATTATTAAATGTGTAACAGCGCAGGCAAATATAAAAACACATAAGAATGCTAAAGATACTATAAAAGCATAAAAATATCTATAATTTCTTCTACCAACACAATTGCCAACCCACGGACAATGGTGATCAAATCTTTCTGGAATAATTTAAAATAAAATATATATAGACTTTAATGGATTATATATATATAATATACATACATATTAACCAAATTATTGAAATATTAAGGATAGGTGTAAAAGAAAAAAAAAGAAAAAAGAAAGATGCTAAGTATATACTAAAATTTCTTAACCTACCTACACAATTATCGCATAAGCTACAGTGCGAGGCTCTTGGTGGTCTAAATATCTTACAAGTAAAACAATATTTTAACTTTACGGGCTGTCCTCGTACCAATACTTCTTTTGTTCTTGGAGGTGGTCTATATGTTTTAGAGTTACCATTATTTGGTACTTCTGTATCAGCACATGCAACAGACATAAATAAGTAAATACTTAACAAAATATTCACAAGCTGTACATTATTGTAAATAATAATAATTTATAAAAAAAATATATATAAGTATCTATAACTACGTTAACTGATTGAGTTTGAATAGTGCTATTTTGCTGCTTAGGACTCGAACAGTTAATATTTATATTTAGGATGTACAAAGCTATTATGCAAATATTCAGAATAATTCTGATTATTTTGACAAAATAGAAACTTTATGAAATATATATTCACGTATGTTCATACTCATACCAATCTGTTTTTCTATGTAAGCAGCCTCATCAGGTGTTGCTCTTGGAATAACACCAGGATCACTAAAGCTCGTTCGAAACAACGCAGACATTACAAATACGAATAATAATCCACCTATTACCGGGATTGCAGGTGTTATATGTACAGCCAAAAATGGACAACTGTAAAATATCAATAGAGATATTTAAAGAAAATAAAACTAAATGACAACGACTAAAAGATATAGTATCATTTTCAATAAACAACGTGCTGATCCACGGATCATAGATATTTTTGTTAAAAGGAATCCAAATATTCATCGCAATGCAAAACACATCGAATAGAAGAAAAAAAAAAAAGAAGAAGTAGAAAAGAAAAACTTACTCAAAGGCAAAAAACAATCCACTGGTACCAGCAACCAAACACACCGTAACATAGAAGACTCCTGTTTGGGGTGCCGTCATTACCCTGCCATCACAACAAAATCTATTCCTACCAGGAAACAATTCCCATTTTCTAGTCACGTGAGGCATATTGATGGACGATAACTTTCACTCTAAATATCCTTAATATATACAAGCAAATACAGTAGAGATCTTTGTAAAAAGTTTATCACGCACATTGAGTCTTCATAATAATATAAAATATTAGTAAATGCACAACCATAGTTCATCTTGGTTCCTGATAATTATAGGTACTCTTGTCATTCAACGTTCGTCCCAACAAAACTGTAATAATGATATAAATTAAAATTATTATAAATTTTTATAAATACATATATATATATATATATATATATATATATCCGAAGATTTAAAATATTATTAACAAAATAAGAAACTGTCAAAAGAAAATACTGATCGATGTTTATCGTAAGTCGACGTAAACAGAGTTGACAAATATTTATTATTCGAACTTACGAGATGTATTTGACATTTAATCAGTCGGGTTACTCCGAAGGTAAATCATGTTAGAATCAAAAATCTCCTGTCATCAGTCAACTTAACCTAATTGCATCGTTCACTAAATGCACACGTATTTGAAGCACGTTAGGATCCATGACATTATCAAGAAAAATGACACGCGAAACTTTGTGCTTAGAGATCTTGTATACGTTTCAAGTTGATTTATTTTTTTTCTTAACGAACAATAAAATAATCTCTAAATAGGACAACGTCACAATATTCTGTAAAAAGAATAAGGAAGTTCGAAGAACACTTGTTATATGGATGAGATCACGCTCGAGGTACAATCCGTCGAGGAAGAATTAATGATCTATATTCGCAAAGTGGGTCGACTCACGACATGTCACGCGCAAAATCGGTACGTATGTGAGCTCGTAAATGATATATAGAATTAATTATTGAAATAAATGAACCTTTATCATAATGACATTATAATATTAAACTTGATAGGGCACGAATGATAAGCTGACAAACTTGCAATTTTGTATTTACGAAGCAAACAGATCCTTTCGTCATGATGTTTAATCAAATGTACACTGGCGCGCTCTGCAGGGGCACCAAAAAGCGCCACGTGATATTTTCGCGAATCACGTGACTTGGCGGGCCGCACAGGGTAATCTCGAATTCGAATATAATCGAATAAAAAAAGATCGAGACGCAATAATTCGAGAATTGTTTTCTTTTTTTTTCAAATACGCATCGTGATCTATCTTGATCTTTAAATATCACGTGTCATATATTTCAATGAACTCTAATTGAATTTAAAATCTGGAAGTACATAAAAAAAACAATTGAGATCTACTAGAAAATCTATATATATATATATGCACACACAGGTTTAGTTTCAATTAATATTAATTTACGCGTGGAATATAAACGTTCGCGGCTTAATAGATTAAAGATTAAACATGAAATCGTAGATATGATTTTGATCTGTTCGATTGTCATATTTTAATCGATATCGATTATAGAAACGAGATAGTTTGAATATCAAGAGAAAAATGTAAACATTCGAAGGATCGTAATAGATCGCAATCGATTCCGATCGGAAAAGAAGAAATGTAAAACATTTTAATAAAAATATATATCGTGAATGATCGAGAATGTGATAGGAGGGTTTTAACAGGAAAGGAACGATTGCTTGTAACTGTATAGTGATCGATCGTTGAACGTTAGTAGCGCGCGCGACTTATCGCCCTCCCATCCTTGCAAAATAGGTCGTCGACGCAATGCAGTATACACGTCGTAGGCGCGCATACCCCTTTTTCTCTCTGTCACACACTCTCTCGTTTCTCTTTCCGCCCTCTATCTTTCTCTCTCTCTCTCTCTCTCTCTCTCTCTCACTCTTTATCCATGCACGCACGGTGAAATCTTGAAAATCGAAGGATCGCACCGCCATCTTTGCGGCTGTCGAAGAAGAACGAAGCGACCGGAAGCCGACGATCACCGTGGCAACACTAAGAGAGAAAGAGAAGAAAAAAGATAAAAAGAGAAATAGAGACAGAGAGAGAGAGAGAGAGAGAGAGGGGGGTGGGAGAAGATCCATGTTTGGATCCCTAGCAGGACGCATCTGCACATATTTTCCGAAGAGAAACTCAAACGAAGGAAGGAAGGATAGAAGGAAGGATCGAAGACACACGGTATGAATCTTTATTTACCTTCTTCCCTCAAAAATCTTTAGTTTCTCTAACATTTTATTTCGATATCGCGTAAGATCGATATTAAGGGTTTTGAATTGATCGGGTCTAAAGGTTTTTTTCTTTGTCGCACGTGGGATTACGATCTAAAACAATAACCGATCGATGAACTAACGATCCTGATATCGTGAACGAATTTTGATTGAAGATATCAAATCAAAGAAAGATCTTTGAAATCTGCAGTTTAGAAGAAGAACAAGAAGAACATAGATAGAAAAGAAATAGAAAGAAAGGTAGCGGGGTAGTATGCTAAACAAAGGAAGGACCACAGGGTGAAAAAAGGTCGGAACTTGAGGAAACGATTCGGAAGAGATCATTGCCGGGATCAACAGGCGTAGCGGGAAAAATCGCGATCGTCGTCGTCTTCGTCGCCACGTTTTCGTGGAGGATGGGTAGAAAGTGAAAGCACGAGATAGAGAGAGAGAGAGAGAGAGAAAGAGAGGGAGGGAGTAAGGGTAAGAGGGAGAGAGATACTCGAGGTAGGGAAGAAAGGGATGAACGATCGAGGGTAGTTGCGTAGTTAAGGGAAACCGATATATAGCGATGGGCGAAGAAGAGAGAGCTTAGAGAAACGGAAAAGCTCACGAGGAGAAAATTCCTCGTTGTCTTCGTGCAGTTGTCAAAGGAAGGGGAGGAAGAAGAAGGAAGACGTTCGCGCGCTTTCACGTATTTTCAAACACTTTCCCATGAAACGGGATGGTGTGTAATAGTAACAGTACTGGTGGTAGTGCGAAGGTGATGATGACGGTTGGTGGTGGTGGTGGTGGTGGTAGTAGTAGCAGAAATCTCTTTCAGAAGGTAAAGAAAGAAAGGAAAACCGGTAGAAAGAGGTAGAGAGAGAGGGAAGTGGGGCTACACAGAATGGGGAGAGGGAGAAATCAAAAGGGTGCGAGCGAGTAGAAGTTAAACTAGAGGGTAAGAGAGAGAGCATGAGAAATGGGAAAGAAGGGGTAGTAGGGCGGAGGGACAGGGCGTTCGGAGCATGAATCGAGGAGCGGGCGGATGGACGGATGGACGCAACGCTGAAATCAGCTCGGCCGATCGATACGATAAATGGATGCGTGCGATTGGTAGCCAGGAAAATCGATGACGAACGGCGAATACATACCGGGGTACTGTATACATAGATAGGGTCACAGAGAGAAAGAGAGAAAGGGAAATATATATATAATATATATACATATACAAGAAAGAGGGAGAATCTAACTAGCTCGGCGAAAACGGCCGCCGCTGCTATTTCCTCCACCACACCACCACCATACCGCCATCATCAGCAGCAGCAGCAGCACACCACCACCACCACCACCACCACCAACAGCAGCAGCAGCAGGAGAATCGCGGGCTCTGGCATTGCCATCACCATCAGCATCGCCATCGTCGGCGCAGCTATTGCCGCCGTTTCCGCCGCCGTTATTGCCGCCGCTGCCGGTGGCGGCGGTGAGGATGGAGGAGCAAAGACCGAAATATCGATTTTTAGGCCCCTACGCGGCGCGGTTCGATGCTCATATCTGCCCCCGTCTTCCCCCCCGGCCGTGCGACCGCGCCGTCGAGGAGAGCGGCCGAGGGAGATAGAAAGAGAGAACGAGAAAGAAGGCACCTTTCAAAACACCAACGACGACGACGACGACGACGACGACTACGACTACTACGACTACGACTACGACTACGACGACGACGTTGACTACGACGTTGACGACTACCACGACGACGACGACGACTACTGCGACGACGACGACGGTTACGACGCGACGACTAGGAGGAGGAGGACGCGCGCGAGATACAACGAGGTGGTTGGTGGTTCGCGGTGATTGTTAGATCCCAGAAAACGACCCACGACACTACTATTACTACCAACTACTATTACTCTACTACTATTACCGATCGCTTAATATTTATCGTGACCGGGAAATAAAATTAAAGACATTTCAACGACGTAGACGACGCGACCTCATCTTTTAACGTCTCTTTCACGATCATCCTAGTGTATTGTTGTGTGCACGAGGGAATTACACTCGATAAATAAAGGGAGTGAAATATATATATCTCTCTATCTCTCCCTTGCTTTCTCTATCTTCGGCCGATGTTGTCAGGTAACGGACGCGTTCGTTATTCTTATTCGAATATGATAGCCAAGACGCTATCGCTTATATATATTTTGTGTTTCTTCTTTTTTAATTATTAAATTTGTCCATCTTCTAATCCTCTTCCATTCTTCTTATTCCTCTTCTTGTTCTTCTTGTTATTATTATTATTATTATTAAATAACGTCGCGAGTGTGCACCCTTCGTTCCTTTTGGTGATGAATAATTGAAATATCAACGTGAGATGATCGACGAAGCGTGCTGCTGTTCCTGTTTCTGTTATTGATGATTTTCATAATCCTCCTAGAAGAAATAAAGTAAACGTGTTAACAAACGATGATATATAATTGAGAAGAAGAGGAAGAAGAAGAAGAAGACGGAGGGTGAAAACTCGTGAGGGTGGTGTTTGCAAAGAGCAAGCGAGTGAGCGAACGAGTGAAAGAGAGAGAGGGAAACGTAATTCATCCTTGATCGTTCGCGTGACTCTGTCATGTCAGCGCCAAAGTTGTAAATTTGATTACGCGCCTCGCGTATAATTTCAATGCGTTAAGAAATATCAACGAGTAAAAATACCAAGTGAGAGAAACTGAGAAAAATATAAAAGGAGAAGAAGATCATCATCTTCGTCTCTTTGTTCGACCGATGATTGTATTGTATTTTTTGATTTTAATTCTCGATCGTTTTTCTCAAGGATATAAACATTAATATTTTCTCGTTCATAGATTTATGTCTTGGATTTTTTTGTTTGTATTCTTTCCTCGTAAAATGAAGTGAAAAATAGAAAAACGCCACGAGGATTTAATCGTTTCTTTTCTTGTGTGTGTGAGAATCCTGTGAGATTTGTTCTCAACGATGATGACGTAGGATCGCTTAGCGTCGCGCCAGCAGCAACGTATACACACACACACACGTAAACGTTCTTTCTCTCTCTCTCTCTCTCTCTCTCTCTTTCATTTATCTTTCGATAGAGATTATTTAGTTGGACAAAGGTTGTCGTCGTGCGATCGATATATATTAGACCTAGGATCGACGTTAGAGTTTGTATGGATCGTGACCATGAGGACGTCTTTTTGTGTTTGTGCACGCGTTCGAAAACTATTCGTCTAAACAGTGATAAAGAAATTCGATTCGAATTCATTCGTCAAAAAGTATCTTTTGTCAATTAATTATTTTTTTAAGAAAATCTCTTAGAGAATAGTGCGTGCGAGTTGTGCAACAGGCGTCTTTTATTTTCACGAATCTAAAAAAATAATATAAAATATAAGATAGTAAATATAATTTGTAAAAGTTAAATAGAAAAGTTGTTAAACGTTAGCTTATTTTTTCTTACTTTTGCATGGTAAAAGAAAAAATGGCCATCGCTGCTTCGGAGAATTATCAACTAAAATGGCATAGCTACGGAGCACATCTTCATAGCTCCGTAGCGACCCTACTTCAATCGGAATCCTTTGCGGATGTTCTTCTGGCAACGTCCTGCGGCCGGCACGTGGCGGCACATCGGTTTGTCCTTGCAGCATGTTCTTCGTACTTGAGTCACATCTTTCAAACCTGTCATTTTGCGGCCAATTCGAATGCCCAAACCATCGTAGTAAGTTCATTTCTATTATTTATTTATTTATTTATTTATTTGTTTGTTTGTTTGATAAACCCATTAGTATAAAAAAAAAGAATTTTACAAAAACAAAAAAAGAAAGGGAAAGAAAAATAATTAATAAATAATATATAAAAAAGATATATATTTACAAAGCATTTAAACCAAATTTAACAGAGGATATAGACTGATTGAACAGATCTATATGTCGATGAAAATGATTACCTGACATTCTATTAATGCAATTATGATAGCCATAAGAAGTATGATGAGTACCAATGTGTAACAGGTCATGGTTCCTGAAATTTTTAAAAGGAACATTGAAGGAGAAAAGTCGAATGATATCTGAACAATTATTTCATTATCTCAATAAACAACAACAACAACAATAATAAAAAGAATAATTTTAATACATGTTTAACGAGATAAAAAAAGAAAAGTTTTGAATATGATCTAAATATATGAATTTAATTTAGTATTATTTGAAAAATAATTTGAATAGTTTGTTATAAATTTACGTGTGTATGTATTTCTTTTACAACGATCACAGATGCAACGTAATCTGTGGTCGTTTGAAAAGCGATCTTAGGCGTGACTTAAGCACATTTCACCTCGATGAGATTTTATCGATCCCACTTGCAGAGCTTAAATGGGATCGTACGATCTAGGTGGTGTGGTAGGTGGAAGGTCGTCCAACACACTCATTCACGTGTCTTCGATGATTTTAGGTATTACCAACAGAGATCGGATACCGTACATTGAAGATTCTTATACAGTACATGTACAGTGGAGAGGCAACTGTAACGAACGATCAATTGGAAGGAGTATTAAGGGCTGGTGATATATTGAGAGTACGTGGATTATGGAAATCCAATTCGGGTAGTAAAAAAGAGAATATACAGTCTAACAATCAAAAGGTCGAACGTGATAAAAAGGAACAAGTACCTTTGACCGGACAAATTCAAAAGATCAAATTGGTACAGCCGACTACGGAGAAGATCGTGGAAAACGTACAACAACCGGCGACAGCGCAGAATAACGTTCAAACTCAAAAGCCCGTAGAAAGGAAGAATGTCGAAAAGGTTGAAGAAAAATCTACCGAACCTGAAACTAAAAAGGTCTTGGAGGAGAACAAGAATAACGAGCAGAACAAGAATAAGGAAAATCTCGAGGCTAATAGGAAAACTAGAAAGAACGTTAACAGCGACGTCGAATCTAACAAGTCGAGAAGCGAAGGTGGCGAAAATGTAAGACACCGTTTTATTTTTTTTCTTATCTAATTTTTTAACCAGACATCTTCTTACAAAATTCTTAAACATATTCTTTTTTTTTTTCTCTCTCTCTCTCTCTCTCTCTTTCTCTCTCTCTCTATCTCTCTATCTCTCTTTTTCCAACTCCTTGCACATAGGCGGAATTAAATTTAGAACTGTTAGTGAAGGACGAGCCGATCGATTGGGAGGAAAGTATCGATCCATCCGAATCCCTGACGATAGACCATGAGATCGATATCAAACCGGTACGTAATTCAAAGTATCATTAATCGATCTTTAAGAAAAAAATTGAAATATGTATGAATGTATGATAATAATGATGATGGTACCTTTATAGGAAATCGTACACAGTGCCGACGAGGATGGGGATTTGGAAGAGGAAGAGTATACTCCTTTGACCTGCGATATGTGCAGTCAAACTTTTAACAGGCCATCGGATTGGGTCAGGCATATAGAATTCACGCATGCCGACATGACTGAGAACAGAAGAAAGAAGAGGAAGGTAAATAAAGATATTTGTGTGATAAAATATACGCGCGTTCATTAACTTATGTTATTATTTAATATGATTTATAGATAAACGCACTGACTTGTGCATTTCCATTGTCCTTACTTGTGCAACTATTGTTTTTTTTATTTTTAGGGTGACGTGGACGACGATAGTAAAGACTTTCCGCCGTTAAAGTGCGACCTTTGCGGGAATATGTATCCAACGCCTCAGGAATGGGTACGTCACATACAAACGGAACACACGGAAGAACAATTAGCCTTGATGAACAACTCGACACCTCCTAAACCAAAAAGGGTACACAGTCATCAAAAATTATGCAATATTTGTCAAAAAGTATTCCCAAGTCACGCATCCATGGTAATACATCAAAGAACGCATACGGGAGAGAGACCTTTTCTTTGTTCCTATTGTAAAAAAGGCTTTAACGTGAAAAGTAATTTGCTGAGGCATTTAAGGACGCTTCATGACAAATTCGTACATCCCAGCTTGTATGGGAGTAACGGTAACAAAAATGGCTAAATTATTTCTCTCTATTAAATCTAATAATAAGAAAGCAACAAGAAGAGAGATAACACAAAGAGAAAGAGAAAAAGAACAAGAAAAAGACGAAAGGAAAAGAAAGAAAAGAAATTAAGAAAAAAAAAAACAAAAACATTTTTTTTTATTTTAATCTCGATCTTATATAAAACCGCGAAGACCGCGTTTGTCATATATTTATTATTACATCGACGCAAACTAAAAATAGGAACAAACGAAATTTTATTCGCATGAGGAGTATAAAGAAAGATCAAAAAATTTGATCGATGAAACAATAATCCGTTTGAATATGTGAATAAAGGTGTGTATCTCAAAACTAGGTATAACAAATAATTCTCCCCATTATCAATTTTAAATTCGGTGAATAATCAATTAGCGATGACATTCTTGTATTTATTCCAATAAATACTTTGTGATCATCCTGCATATTCGAAGTGTTAATTGTAAGGGAAGGGAGGGGTCTCTCTCGAAAAAAAAGATTAAATTACGAACCGTTTTTTTGTAAACGAAGAAGCAATATGAGGGCTTTAGAACCAAAGAGGCTGATTAATATTGCCAAAGTATCTTTTTTCTTTTATTGCTACTTCGACTCTTTTCACGTACACCGAAAATCTATTTAGTTGGTATATTATAGAAACTTTGTTCTAACTAATAAGGGTGCATGAATAAGAGGCGAGACGAAACGATTTTATCACATATATAGAGGTCTTCGCAAGAGAGAAAGAAAATGAAAGAGAAAGAGAGAACGTGCGAGAGAACGAGAATACTTGCGTGTAAAATAATTCATAATATAAATCAACGTTTAATGATTAATATTTATTTACTTAGTAATTATACGAGAATCTAAATTATGTAAGATTTAATTGTATACTTCTAGGCTATTCCATCCATGGTAGCCCTCTTATTCCCACAGCTCGTAAAGCTGATTATGTATTTTTATATTAAAGTAGCTTATACACGAAAAAAGGTATAAGATATAAGACATTAGCGATAAGTGAAACTTGAAATTTTCATTAGATTATTAGAATGTAAGAATAACGCATAATAATTCAAAATTTATCAAAAAATTTTGGAAATATATTGAGTTCTTCTTACATATATACATAAAAAAAGTGCGACATTATCAAAAGTGGTCACAGTTTACAAGAAACCGATTTAATTATATAATACGAAAAACCTGATGAAAGAATGACATCGTTTTATCCTGTTAATCTTTACACAATTATATCGTGTCACTTTTTGAACTATGAACTTTTTTTTAGTGTCAATTCTAACATTGCGCTAAACACACACTGTGACAAGCCAAATGATTTTTAAATGTAAAATTTAAATAATATACTATCTTCAAAGTATTTTTTAACTTTGCCTTGATTGTACCTTAATATATATTATATTATAATAGCATACATATTTCACCTTTTTTATTATCAAAAATACGTATATGTTATTATTATTATTATCATTATCATCAATTTTCGTATTAAAAATTAAAATATTATTATCGATATACTATATATATATTAAAAAAAAAAAGTTTTTGAAGCGACAAAAATAAATACAATGACGATATAAGTACCATGTCAGAATTTGGGGGAAAAAAAAAGGAGAAACAAATACACGACAAATATCAAGCTATGTAAACAAGGAACAACCATTATCATTGTGATAATTACAGGCATGTACAAAATTGAATAATACGACAGGACAAATTTTCAATATGACAGTTTTTCCTAATTATCATCTTCGTCGATCTTGGGTGCCAGGTAATACCTAATGTGACCAATATCTCCAATCTTATACTCGCATACTAACGGAACGTCACTAGACATCGAAAGTTGTACTTGTGCACATAAAGGACTCGCCTTTATGAAGCAATTTAAATAACGACAAGCAAATGTTAACTTAACCGGCTCTTGCATGTTAACTATTACCGCATCTTCTTCTTTATCTGCCTCTGCAGTTTGTGCGAGTTTAACATTAGCTAAAACATAATTGAAGAAACATTAATTATATATATATTTGGCATGGTACACTTATTGCATGTGTCATTTAAGCTTTAATCATATAAATTTTTTCTCTCCCTTATTAAATTTGAATGAAGAAAATCTTTCCTCCATAGTTACATTACTATTAATCATAATAAATATAAGCAATATTTATATATATATATATATATATATATATATATATAAATTATATATATATATAAATATTATCTATTTCTTCTTATTAATTAAGACGACGACAACAGCAACAAAATCTCTAATGCGTACTATCAGACAAATCATCAGAGTTCAGATATTAAGATAGTACTGTAAATTGGTAATTACCTCATTAAAAAATAGAATATATATATATATGTATATTGAGAATAGTACATACAATTTATATACATATACGATGAGAATGCACTGTTATAATAAGTCACAAAATACAAACCTGTTCCATGATCCCCAGACGCTGTAAACTTAATACCTTCTTTAGAGCAGGCAAATGTTATTGATTCCCCAAATTGACTCAAATCTCTACAGATACGAGCAAATTCCTGGGAAGGCATCTTGACTACGCAAGAGTAATTAGTTTCCTGTAATATTTTGCAATAAAAGAAAAATCAAACGATAAGAAATAAAATAATACATGTATATAATAACAAAAATGAAAATATTAAACTTACAGGAATACCAAGATGTTCTTGGTCCATATTAATAAGTTTCATTTCATATTCGGCAAGTTTTTCTTTGCTTGGTGATTCAAATACAAAAGCAATTACTTCTGGGTTGTCCCATGCTCTCAATGTTACTGTATCTTCTGTACCGGCGCATCGTAATATCTTGGACATTCTAAACAAATAATTTAACTTAATATAATACGTTATAATAACGTAAATAAATATCTGTTGGTATCTCAAAGAGAATAAAAAAAAATTAGGAACAAAGAATAACAAATCTAATTGTAACTATGATTACTCGAATAACCTTTAAAAAAAAAAAAAGAAAGAAAACAATTGAATCGTCTTACGTTGCGATGCTCATCCCCATGGACAAATTTCTGTCGCATCTGTATTTATCAAAACCGTCACTTCTTAAATTAAGTGAAACCAAAGAGACGTGAGCGTTGTCCATAGCTTGTACTTGAATTCCAGAGTCAGAACATTCAAATGTTGCTTCAGATAGAAGATCCTTTACAGCGTCCAACACCTTCTTCAGGATCGCACTTTGTACTAAACGTGCTTCGAACATATTGATTAGAACAAAATTTATTCAACTTGAATGAATTTCAAATGAAATTAGTATCGCAATCTAATGCAACAAGTGCAACGCTGCAGAGATACTCCAATAAAGTAGACGTTACCCGCGCATTTACTCTTGTTTTATTCGAAAGGAAGTAGATGGCGCTTCGGTATAACGGAGATGACGTTTGCTCGAACTAGAAAAATATGAAAATCTTAATACACTTTTGTATATATCAAAAATAACGTTAGATACATGGAATTGATAAAACATAGAAAATTAAAAATAAAATAGAAATTTATTTACAATAATAATAATAATAATAATGATAATATATACCTGGTAATATTTTTAATAGGTTAAAGTTTATATTTTTCTTCATGCGGGATAAGAATATACACTTTTAATTGTTATACAGATTTTTGTATTAAATGAATAAATAGTGAAATAATGTATACTATTTTATCAGAGTTTTTATATGTAAAAATATATTCGCTAATGGAAGATGACGTAAACAATTGGTAACTTTTAATTGTTAAATAAACTATTTCAAATGAACTGTTATCTATATATCACGATTTCATTGTTATCCTATCGTATTCTTATGAACGATAAGAATACGAAAGTTGCATTTACTTGCAATTGTATTAGAATTATTCGTTATCATTCTACATAATGTATTTGTATTTACTTGTAGAAAGAAATATTTCTAGTACAATTTCGATGTACCCATGTGCGTAAGTAAATCCGGCACAATTGCTTTTTCCTTAATAATTAAAAACTTATTTACAGAGAAAAGATAATAATTTGTTCGAACGATTAAAAACAGTAATATATATAACAAGTCATTTGTATAAAATAAAATGTGTTCACATAATTCCTTTTTTTTTTTTTCCTTTAAAATTGTACTAATTCGGTAACATGATATTGATTCATGCAGGTAATCGAACTTAAAGAAATTGGATTAAAACTTATACCTTATACAAAAACTTATATAAATATAATGATTCACTTAATCTATTATATTGTACTTAAATAAATGCAGTCTCACCTGTTACGTTTTAAAATTATTGATATTTACATACGATATTTTTAAAGACGGTTTTGCAAAATTGTCTTATTAGAGAGATCATTAATTAATAATTTTATTATTTTTTACCCCATTAAAACCCAATATTACTTGTTGTATTTTCCAGCTCGTTAAACATTTGATCAAGATGCTGAAGTCAAAAAAATGATTAGTTAAAAAATAATTTATATATATATGTATATTTATAGATATATTATTGCGTATACTTACATCAGATGGTTCAGTATCTTTTAAAGTATGTTGCTGTTTGGAACTAAATAACAAACTTTCGTTATGATCAACATCATCTTCGTCTTCTTCCTCTTTTTCATTATCGTTATCATCATCATCATCGTTTTCGTCATCGTCGTCGTCATCGTCGTCATCTAAATCTTCTTCATCTTCGTCGACATCGTCGTCCACAGCATCGGATGATAAGTACATCATTTCTAGGTCTTCATAATCTTCTGGTTCTTCTTTAATATTCGTTAACAATATTGTTTCTGGCACTGTTTCTGTTTTTGATGGGCACGGAGGGGATACTTCAGACGCCGAAAGTATTTGAGGTGGTTGCGATGTCTACAATCATAATTGACAACTAATTAATACAATTCTTTACAACATTAGATTCTTAAAGAATAATATAATGAATACCCATGATTGTTTTTGCGCCGTTTTAACAGATGTTACAGATGCAGACAATTGAGGAGATTGTAGATCAGTATTTTGCTGTAGAGTTTGACTATTTTCTTTACCCTGTGTTTCAGTACCATCTTGTAATCTATGCTCTCCATTAGTATCTGGTTGTTGTGTTGCTTTCTTTTCATTATTGTTTTCCTTTCGTTCTTTTGTTTGTGATGTATTGTTTGGTTCTTCTTGAACTTTCTTTACATTTGGTTTATGTTCTCCCGAAAGACATGTATTTCCACGTTGTCTTCGGAATCTTACAATAATACTTCTTGTATCCCACATTAAGTCGTGTGTCTGTTTATAAGCCTCTATCGATTCATCTACAGTATTATATCTTATAAATGCATATCTGAAATAAATAAGAGAACAATTAATTATTCAGTATGAAATACTATATATATATACTTTATATTTACCGTGTATTTCTCATTTTTTGCGCATAACCAACATCTACCCTAGAAGCTGTTGGAAACTTGCTTTTGACTTCATTAACATTAACAGTTTCTGGTAAATTTCCTACGTACAAAATATAAGGATCAATTTCTTCAGGCATTGGGTTATCTTCATCTCGCAAAGATTTTCTTTCCACTTTCAAATTGCCAATACCAAAGGGAATCTTTTCTAACTCTTTAATAGCTTCATCAATATTAACATTTTCTGCCATCTGAATAAAACAATATCTAGGGCCACTAGGACTTTGAAAATGAATATTTTGTATATCAGGATGAAATTCTCTAACAATATCCTTATTAAGATCAGGATCTGGAAATTTAATAATCAAACTCCTTGCTTTAACGGTCTTATTGTATTCCGTTTCAATTTTTAAAGCTCTCTCAGCATCTTCCCGATTCCATGGTCGGCTGGGGTAACTTTGCGACATAGGTTTTCTCTGTTTATTTTTCTTAACTACTAATTCTTTCTGTAATAAAATTTAATATATAATTATTCATATCATAGGTCACGCTAATGAAACATACCAATACACTTTTAACATCCTGATCTCCTTTTTCTTCTCCATGTCTAGTAGTTATAATACCTTGGGTTATGGGAGTTATAGGATGATTGGAAAGGGGAACAGACATATGATTCATAATAGGATCATTCGGTGTTGCATTATAATTATTTCTTGGCCAATCTAAGCTGAGACCACCTGTTAATGCTTCGCCAAAATAAGTAGCTTGATCAAATTGTTCTTGCGATTGACCAAAACGTGATGGTCTTCTATTCTTACGATGATAGGAATTTCTCTGAAGATACATGTTATTTCTGTTGTGGGGATACCTTTCTCTTCTCATGTAGTTACCTCTCAGGGCAATTTCCCTTTGAATATGTTGAATTTCTCTGTGAGGTATGGGCGGTGTTATCCATGACCAATGTGTGGATGCTTGAGCCCATGTTTGAATTGGCGTAATCTGAGAAGGCACTGGTCCAAAGACATGAGGCGGTGGTGGAACTCCGCTAGGGGGTGGAGGCATTGGAGGTAATGGTGGTTGACCTGGTAAAGGTTGAGGAATGGAAGTAGATGCTGATGTAGTCGATGAGGAGTAATTTGTATATGTTGTTCCCTCATTTTTAATTGTAACAGACTCTTGTTTAATGAATGATCTTTTTGAATCTCCATTTTCTTCTATTATCTGTAAAGAATACAATTTATATTGAAAACTCATTAATTGCTCGTAATTTAAAATTATCCTATTGATCCATTGACAAAATCTTTATAATTTTGAGAGAGAGATTGTAAATAAAATATAATGCCTGCATTGGTTAGTTAGCTAGCCTAAAATAAAGGGGAAACGCACATATGATCAAAAAACAATTAATATTAAATATTCCAAATCGTAACAAATATTTACCGATCGTTTCATTCTGTGGCTGTATCTCTTTCTTTTTTTATTCTTTTCCCTTTCTTTCAAAAAAATATTATATTTATATTAAAAACATTATATTATCTAACACAAGCACGTTTCACGAACCATAATCTGAAGGACAAATGAGAAAATGTGTTGCTTATACAGGGGTACCAACCCCTAATAATATGCACTATAATCAAGGGTTAAAATGTGCGTTCCAAAAAAAGAGAAATATAACATTCCTGAAAAAAAATTATATTAAAATACAACAAATAGTAATCAATGAAGTACATGAAAATTATTTTTATCTTACAGTTAATTTCTTTTACAACTGTATCCAAACAAATAATTTTATTCATTAACATTATACACTTCCATTTATGCAATGGAAGATTTATAAGTATATGGATAAAGTATTGTTATTAAAATTATTAATAAAAAAATGATGAGTCAATATATTTCTGTCATATTTTTTCTAATCGCACATTATGATTTATTTATTCTTATTTTTTAACTTTCTCTTATTTGTTTTTTAATTACCCGCTCAAAAAATGGCGCCAAAATGACGTCAAAATTGAGGATTTAAAATGACTAATAGTATTAAAGAAATGAAATTATGTCAATTTTATTAATTTTATTAATTATAATATTATTTAAAATATTATTTAATTTATAATATTATTTAAAATATTTATCTATTAGTCAAATAAAATATTCCACTTTATAAATATTTTTAAGATACATTGATAAGTTGTTCATTTGATTAATAGTTACGAACACAACTACTTTATTACGTTGCTTGTATTTATATGTGTTGTCATAATTCTTGAACTAATCAACATAAAGCCTCAACGATAAATGAAAGTCGAGTGTGATAATACGTAGATAACATAAATGTAGTAGATAATTAAATTATCCCTTATTTTTTAATTTTACTAACTAAAGTTCACTAATTTGAACGATAAGACTTTATTTATATTCTATTTCCGGTTCTAATATTAAATATATTACAATATATGTACATACGTTTAATACGCAATAATAGTTGTTGTTTACTCGTTGACAAATATTGTTAACAAGATTTAATTTTGTTAAAGATGAATAATTGCTTATACTAAAACAAGATAACCTTTTTATTTTTTTCCTTGTTGTCGAAATAATTCTTTGATACCGTTCATGAATATATTGTGTGTTAATTTTTACTTTCATTTCCGTTTTAATCTATTCAATGACAATATAGTGTTGGTCATTACAAAGGATTGTACTTTGAACTTAAAAAACATTTCATTTGAGCATATATATATATAATTGTTGGTGATAAGTTTTTTAATAGTCAGTCTATCGCAAGTTCCAAGTGTTTAATTTTCAATAAGTACACAAAAACCTGTAGACGTCAAAATGTTGCTCAAAAAGGTGAGTTTTAACATATTCAAATATTTTTAATTAATTTTATTCGTTTTCTACGTATTTCATTTAAACTTTAGACCTTTGACATCTTTCTTTTTGCAATATTCTTGTATTCAAACAAAATATATTATAAGGAAAAAATTTAATTTGTGTAATCTTATACGACTTATGTTAATTCTAACTAATAAATAAAATGGATGATTTGTTATCTCTAATAAGAAATAATATTAATTGCTTGTACAATAACAAATATTTTATTATTATTTTATGTAAATATAATCACTTTCATTTCTAGATATTTAACAATGCCGCACTATATTCTAAAATATTCAGAACATTTTCCATTAAAACTGAACCTTTGATATCAGAAGGTGGTAATGGTTTTAACTTTGGTAAGTATGTTGTCGAAGAGACACATTTTTTAAAACTAGGATAGCAATTAGTTTAGTTAATCGCTTTATTTATCTATGTGTTTAGCATTAAATGATACGCAAAGAGAGATGCAAGAATTGGCACGTAAATTTACCAGAGAAGAGATCATACCTGTAGCTGCTAAATATGATAAAACTGGGGAATATCCATGGGATATACTTAAAAAGGCTTGGAGTTTAGGATTAATGAACTCTCATATTCCACATGAACTTGGTATGCTCTTATGTTATCGTAACAAGGATAGTTATTAAAGTAACAATATTATATCGTTTGTATGTAATGAAATTTAATATACAATTGTCGTATTTAGGTGGTATGGAACAAAATATTTTTGATGGTTGTCTAATAGTAGAAGAAATTGCATATGGTTGTTCGGGTATAGCAACTGCGATAGAAACTACTAATCTTGGGGTAATAATTAGATATTTTATTTATATAATACAGTGTAAGTAAGCAGAGGATGATTCTACATGGAAAAATGAATCAAAAAATAGAATAAAATTTGTCAAGTACACATGCACACTTGTACCACTAGTTACAGAACATCCTGTATATTAACGGAATTAGAAGTTATTGATATAGATAATTATTTTTTCCATATTTTTTTTTTATATAGCAAACACCGGTGATTGTAGCAGGAAATAAGCAACAACAGAAAAAATATCTTGGTAGACTTCTAGAAGAACCTCATGTAGCTGTAAGTAAAATAATGGTAACATCGATATACGTTATCGTTTTTGTATTTTTTTCTACATGCTGAATGTTTCTAGGCCTTCTGTGTTACTGAACCTGGTGCTGGATCCGATGTAGCAGGTTTAAAAACTAGAGCTGTAAAGAAAGGAGATGAATGGATTCTTAATGGTACCAAAATGTGGATTACCAACGGTGGTGTTGCAAACTGGTATTTTTTAAACTATTAAAAAATAAATATATCTTTATACATGTATAAGGCAAGTTAATTGCATGTATCGTTCATATTAGGTACTATGTATTAGCAAGAACAAATCCTGATCCAAATGCTCCAGCTAGCAAAGCTTTTACAGGATTTATTGTTGAGCGTTCTTTCGAAGGTGTAACTCCGGGTCGTAAGGTAAGTTTTTTAAAGACGTTTTTTTTAATAATCACGCATTAAATTATATATTTATTAGAAAATTTCTTCTAAAGGAGATAAATATGGGACAACGAGCTTCCGATACTAGGATGATTACGTTTGAGGATGTTCGTGTACCCGAGGAAAACGTATTGCTAGGAGAAGGAGCTGGTTTCAAAATTACAATGCAAACTTTTGATAGAACTCGACCACCGGTAACACACACATACAAACACATATACTTCTATATATATATATATATATAGTAAAAGTGTTCTGTGTATTGAAAAGAATTAACATATATTTATAATTAAACAGGTAGCAGCTTTGGCTACTGGAGTAGCACAAAGAGCATTAGACGAAGCTACTAAGTATGCATTGGAGCGAAAAACTTTTAACAAACCAATAGCTGAACACCAAGCTGTAGCATTTATGATCGCTGATATGATTATTGGAGTCGAAACGTCTCGTCTCTCTTGGATGAAAGCAGCTTGGGCAATGGACTTAGGTTTGCCAAACGCTTCAGTTTATTCTAGCATCGCCAAATGTTATGCCGCCGATATAGCTAACAAATCTGCTACCGATGCCGTCCAGGTAACTTGAACTCTCATTTTAATTATGTATATATTATAAAACAAAACATAATAATGTACAATACGAATTTGAATAGATCTTTGGCGGTGCTGGATTTAATACGGAATATCCAGTGGAAAAATTAATGAGAGACGCCAAGATTTTTCAGATATATGAAGGCACGTCGCAAATTCAAAGATTAATCATATCTAAGAATCACTTTGGTAAAGCTATAAAGTAATCATAAAAAATAAGAAGAAAACGAACAAATATATATATGATACATTTATTTATTATTAGGAAGATTTGAAAATGGCAATATATTTTTTCTAAAATTGTTATTATATAGCACTATTTATACGTTAATCGTTATGGAACAAATTTTATAAATATTTATTATACATTTATAACAATCTTTGGAATAAAACACGGTAAAAAATAAATGAACATCGTCGAAGAAAAGGGGGAAAAAAATATTTAAAATACAATTTGAATTTGGCGGCGGAGGAGGATTGCAGATGGCGCCAGTATCGTTGCACGAAAGCGTTAGTCAAGTGCAATGTTCAATGAAAACGGATTACATCGTATTACGTCCGTCAAGCCATAGTTTTTACGCGGTTATATTTGGTGAAGTCGTGCGCGACGAGTTATGCAACGTTCGGTGTAAAAAGTCTCGTCGATAGGGTACTCGGATATCGTGACACCTGACCTACTTAGACAAAGCGGCTGTTTCTCTTGGAGAGCCATAACTCGAGAAGCTTGGAAAACGCTAAGGACACACATTCAACGGCCTATCAATTCGAAGATTTTAAATCCTTAGGGACACCAGGAAACATCGAACTAATCTTTCGCAAATTGCGTCTTTTCATATCACGTTCGAAGTTCAGTGCCGTCGTTAGGGATCACCGGCGCCCGGATAAGTTTAACTACACTCGGTCTAATTAATTTCTCTCTCTCCCTCGCTCTGCTTTTTTATTCCCCTCTAGATCCCACACAAGTTACATATATATATATATATATATATGTACATACATATATATATATATATATACATATATATATGCATAGTAAAAAAAGTCTACGTAACAACTAATAATGTTTTCCAAAAGGAATAAAAATTAGATGAAGAAAAACTTTCGTTCTCGGTTAATACTTTGTACAAGTAAGCAGACCGAGTAAGCAAGAGAGACTATCCTCACGGCACAGAATCGCACGAGCAACAAGGTAGGTAGTCGGTTTACGGTTTCTCCATCTCTCTTTGTACTCTATATGCCGATGGTTTTCCCTTTCGTTACGCACTACCGTAACCATGCATTGCGGAACCGCGAGCAAATTAGCTAACCCATTCGCAACAATAATTTTCTGAACGAATTCAAAGAAATTTGGTTCGTGCGATACTACTGCAGAACGAATCCTTTTAACAAGCATAGATCGATCACGCGAACGATTGGTAATCGATAAAAAGGGAAAGTAATAATACTTGGATATACTCTTTGTTGGTTGGATAAAAGTTAAAAAAGAGAGAAAGAAAGAGAGTCAAAAGGAATTAAATGATAAAAGTAACGATGATGATGATGATGTTGTTGGTTGAAACTAAGTCGAGGCACTTGACGGCTGCTAAGAGCGCCCCTAAGATAAATCCGTTTGAAGGGTACGGACCTGGAGGTCGGTCGCGCTGTCAGAGGAGCGCGACGGTGCGCCGGACGCTCGCTTGACTAAGGGAGTGCCGTCCCGATGCAAAGTGTAAGTGAAGTGGCCTACAGACCTACATTTCTCTAACGTTCCATTTTTTCAAGTCGGCCGAACAGGAGGTTAAGAATTCGCGCGGGTCACCATTTTACACGGACGCGTGCGATGTCGCTGTTGTGTTATACGTCGATCGGCTCTCGATAGATAGAGAGAGAGAGAGAAAGAGAGCGAGTAAGAAAGAAAAAAAAGAAAGAGAGAGAGAGAGAGACACGGTGTAGCAGTTTCTTCTTTCGCCGTGGTACGTTCTGTCGGTGCTGCAGGGCGGCGCGGGGACAATTCAAAGAAAGAACGAGAAGGGAAAGAGAAAAAGAGAGAGAGAGAGAGAGAGAGAGAAAGAGGGTGAGAGCGAGAGTGACGACAAGGAGCGCGCGCGTCATTCAGCCAGAAAGAGAAAGAACGAGAACACACGGGTTGGCGGAGAGACAGAGAGAAGGAAAGTCGTGCTCGCGCGGGCGCGCTGCAATAAGAGAGAGGGAGAGAAAGAGTAAAGCTGTGTGCGAAAGAGCGAAAAGAGAGAAATAGATGCGCGTGTAGGTGCTCTTTTGAGAACAGGAGCGCGCGCGCGCGCTCGAATTAAAGAGTGGGAAAGAGAAAGAGGGAGCGAGAAAACGAACGAAAGAGCGAGCGAGAAAACGAACGAAAGAGCGAACGAGATAGAAATAAATAAAGAAACAGAAAGAGAAAAAGAGAAAGAGAGAAAAGAAAAGAAAAGAGCAAGTGCTTGCGTGCGTGCGTCCAACGTGCGTACGTACGTGCGTATGTGCGTCCTGCGTGCGTGCGTGCGTGCGTACGGTGGTGGAGAAAACGAAGAAGAAGAGAAGAAAAAGAAAAGACGAAGAAGAAGAAGAAGAAGAAGGTGTCTTTGAAGGGGGAGGGAGCCTCGTTCGTTCGTTCGTTCCGTTCGTCTGTCCCATCCATCCGTCCGTTCGCCTGTCCGTCGTTCCCTCGTTCATAGGAATGCACGACGGTCGAATGGCTACAGGTTCAGGGGAAGGTAGTAGGGCCGCCGGAGGGGGGCCCGTACCACCTCTGGAAAACAATTCAACCGCGACAACTACCCTTACGGAATCGTCCACCTCCTCCCCACCCTCGGTTGCTCCCTCTTCCTCTTCCTCTACCTCATCTTCTAGCTCCTCTTCGTCCACCTCGAATACCCCTGCCGCGATCTTGACGGAGAATCACGCGAATGTTACGAGTAATTTGCCATTGACCACGGGATCCCAACAGCCTCAACAAACCATTCATCAACAACAGCAGCAACAACAACAGCAACAACCACAACAACAACAACAGCAGCAACAACAACAGCAACAGCAGCAGCAGCAACAGCAACAACAGCAATCACGTATCAGGCTCGATTTGCTCACCGATTTGCCCGGCAATGATGCTTCAGGTACGATCACGCATTGGCTCAGCTCTCCACTTTAAATGCTCTCTTTTTTCTCTCCTTTTTTTTCTTTCCTCTCGCTTTTCTTTTTCTCGCACTCTTCTTCTTTTATTGCTTGTGCTTTTGTCAAACCCTTTTCCTTTATTCCATCCTTTCCACGCTCTGCTTTCGAATCTCTTGGAATCTCTATTTCTTTTCTACCCTCTATTTACCTCTTCCGCTTTGTCATATTTCCCTCTCCATCTTACTCCCCTTCCCCCTTCTCTCTCTTTCTCCCCTTGTCTTTCTCTTTCATCCCCTTTTTTCTTCTATGGGTTTTCTCTATTGCACGTGCACCTTCCCTACCAAGAGGGAAAGAAACATAGCGATCATATAATACAATGCACTCGATCGTTTTGTTTTCAAATGAATTGAGTGACATGATATCTATTCCGTACTTTTGAAATGAGAACAGGTGCCACATGAACGAAGAAATCTATGAGAATAGATCGCCCTACGTCTTTGAAACGAAGGAACAATCTACTTTTTTTAATGATTTTCAGGAAAACACAAGTATTAGTAATTTTATACTTTTACTTATTATGTTTAAAATTCAAGATACAATTTCCAATAATTTTCGTCGAGGGAGATTGAAAATTGAAAATTTAGATATAATAATAAAAAGCAAACATAATTGACGCTTTATAATTTCTGAGATAACGGCACAAACTTATAAGGTCTACAGTAAACCTTAGTATGTCCACTGTAATAGGACGATTTCTTAAGGGATGTTTGATTCTATCAAGATTGTTTGATTCAAAAATAAAAAAGTTAGATTATCGGATACCATAAGGAATCCGAATTTTTTCGAATAAAGAGACAAATTTAGTCTAAGGAGAGTGTTATTAGGGATGCATTCTGTTAAACACGATAGAAGGTTTTATAATGGTATAGAGATGCTATAGTGGATTCGATGTAGGTGGATTCGACGATAATGGAAAATATGTATTGAAATAAAATTTATACAAAAATCTTATCTATTGTATATAAATTTTCCAAATCGTAAATACTTTTTTACAAAGGATTTTATATTTCGCGCCATTAAAATATTCGGTTAGAATACTTCGGGCACGGCGACGTTTGGAGTCGCGTCGATCGGTTAGGACGCAACAGGCGTTTTCAATTAAATTTCAAAGTGGAATTGCTTTCAGAGCGTGACTCTACTATGGTTGTCCTCAATTTGGAAAGAAGCTTTGAAAGCGCATCTCTTCGAGAAGAACGCCATACGTTTGTAACCACCCTAGAAGTTCGGAGAAAATAACGTTGAGGAATGAATGTCCTTGCTTGTTATTTATTCTTTTATTTTGCGCCATGAAAGCAATGCCCGAACAATGCTCTTTTGCTTTTTCTTGTCCCTATCATCCCTCCTATATTTTTTTTCTTATTTTTGGACAACACAATGATGCTTAGTTAATTGGAAAAATATTTTATATCTTATTCCTAACTTTGGAGAAACTTTACAATAAATAGAAGCATTAGTTCCGTTTTATCACCTGTTCCGAAACGAAAAACCTAACGCAGCAGGAAGGGGAGAGGATCACTCGGTCCCTAAATGTATCCGAAAAGAAACCCTCTATTCACAGAAAAATCTTTTTGTAAGCGTGCTGGGCACGTGCCAAGTCGAACCGTTTTCCGCTAATATCCTTGAAGGACAAAGTTCCTTTTAGTCCCGTTCGAGGAAACTTTGACAATACGGATAGTCAACATCTACCTGCTACGTTAACGAGGAACACTTGTTGCTTCGCTTTTTCCAAACTATCGTAATTTCTTTTAGAATTGTTCGTTCCTTACATATGTCATGCCCTATGCGAACATTCAACTACCCTCCGCTATTACCAGCAACAAAGAATGCAAGCTCTAAATTCGTAGCATTTGCATTCACATTTGATTTAGTCCAAGTCTAGGTATTATAAATCTGTTTACTTTCACTTTGTTCGAACAGAATCGATTAGAATAATAATTATTATATAGAACATTTTTCGTAAATAAATGGAAACTAATACAATTAATCCAAACATATCTGAAAAACAGAAAGAATCTGAAAAGTTCATTTATTTCTATTTCGGTTCGTCCATATATATTTCAATGTCTCTTTTATATTATATATATTTCAAAATGTTAGAGTGCATATTTGTAATAGACGTATCTTATTTACGAGTGAAACTCGGACGAAATTAATGGGAAGTAGGTGTCGAATATTTTATTCATTTTTTTCTTTTCGTTCTTTTATTTTATGAGGATTCAAATACTGTTGTCCTAACTCTCGCCAGGAGATTTCTCTATAAAGAATCTTTACAACGAACTATTGTGGACATTACGACGGACTGGTATCACGTGGATACTTTAAGGGATATATCTTGGAAAAAGAGAAAAGGAAGGAAGAAAAAAAGAAATAAATAAATAAATAAATAAATAAAAAAAGAAAGAAAGAAATAAAGAAAGAAAGAAAAAGACGACACGCGTTCAATAGTACGAGCCTTCTTCTTTCTCCGGCTCTGTCGAGCATGATTACAAAGCATTTGCGTGGCTCTGTGTGTCTTTTATAAAGTACATACACTCCCACGCGACGTTAAGACGGTCGACGGGTCGTTTCTCGTCGACTGCGGTCGCTATTGAATAGCTTGACCCACTTTGATAAAGTCGCATTGGAATAACTCAATAACACCAAGCCCAGCCAACAACAATAATTATTATTCAATGTTCTCAGCACGCCGAACACTGGTGATATCGAT